GACAAATGACTAGATAGATCACCATCTTCACAAGTTAAAAGCGTCTCTGGAATTTGTTGGGACAAAACAAAGTTAAACCGTTGACGTGTCCTTAATTTTTACCACGTCATTAAAATGGACCAGAGTCAACCCATAATATTTGTCCCATCATGACGTAAATAATAATCTATGTCATTTTCTGATCAATGTCAGTAGTTGAGCAACTGCGTACTTACCCCTCCCCCACCCTAACTTGTCATCAGGTGACTGGTGAAATCACTTACCAAGAAGTGAAGGAGTGAAGAGGACTCTTGTTATTCCATTCTTCTTCAAAAACTTCAGCAAAAGATACGGATCATAAATGACTGAGTCAGGAATGATATAAAGGGGTATTCCCTTCAGAAGAGGACGCAACAGCTCCCACACAAAGAAAACATTGCAAGCCACACGGTCATCTGACTCGAAGGGAAAATTCTGAAATCTCCAAGTATAAGAGAACACTGCACCACGATGAGGGCAACATATCCCTGGAAAAGGTAAAGGGATGGTTAATTCTATGTTAGCAAGGACGCACGGCCGTACGTGCGTCCATGAACAGTACCCTTCTAGCGAAGCCACGAGTTTGTAAACTTTCCAGATGGTTTTTCCGTTCCTTCCCGATTGAGACAGATCAAAAATGAAAACTAATACGCGAAAGAACACTTGATTTGGGAAACAATGGATTTTTTATCTTACGGGTACGAAATCATCTTTGAAGTTACCCGTTGTTTTAATCTAAAATAAATTATGGCCGAAAAATGAAAACTGAACTTACTGACTTGAAGGGAGCCTTTGCGACAATTTCACTGATCTGTGAGCCAGTTAAGCAAGTGACAACTTTTTCTATCTGTTTAACGAAAAACAAAATCCCCGGGGAATTTTTTCGGGAGAACAAGACAACCACCAACTCGTAGTTTACAAACTTTTCGCATCTTCTCCCAACATCTCAAGTGGGTTATTAGGACGGTAAACCGACAGAAAGTGCGGTCTATTGCTTTAATAGAATAAATTTCAATTTTCTATCGGTTTACCGGTACAATAAACGAAAGGAACCCGCTTTACCAATCAGGGCGCTCTCAATATCTTTGTTATTTTAGAACAGATATTATTTTCAGGTGTTGATATTGTCTAAAAGTACCGCTCAATAATAGAGATTTTTCCGTGGAAAGTGCGCACGAACGATTTTCATTCACGAGTTGTGATATATGGAGTGAATAAAAATCGTTTAAGCACTTTCCATGGTACGATGTTTTAACTTCGTTTATACTAAGATTGTTCTTACTGACCGACAAATTTCAAAGATTGGAATCCATTTCCTGTTCAAACGCCACCTATGGGCTCATCGAGATGTGGAGTGCGTGGGAAGTTTAAGAACGCTTAAGAAGCTAGAATAGCTTTCGGTTACAACTGCAGCTATTATGAAACATCTTTCTCCAAGCCTTGCGTACTTCATATCTCGATCTCGATAAACGCACGCCGACGCAGGAACCAGTTGTTTTAAAAATACCTGCGTTTTTTATGCGGGTGCCTTTTATAAAAAAAATAATTAAAAGAAAAAAAAAAAAAGATAAACGCCTTAGAAACGAAATTTCCATCGCGTAGGAAAACTTAGTGTTCAACTATGACTTAAAATCACAATGGTAGGAAATTGAACTGGTAACCCTCCGCGGCGCGCTATGTTTCCAGCAAGTGCGTGACAGGCCGAAAACACGGGCGTTATCGCTTGTTACCATACACTTTGAGAAGACGCTGGTGCGGAAAAAAGTTTAATTAAAAATTAATTATTGATAAAGAAATAACATTTACATTTTTAAAACCAAATTGCACACTTAGCATTCATATTAAATCTTTGAACACCTATTACTCGTAAATCACGGCTTCAAGCCATCAAAACATCTGCGCTGATAAAATCAGTTTTCTCTCTGAATGAGTTACATGTCATATCGACTGAGCGAGAATAACGGAATATGAAATATCACATCAAAGGTCAAATTTCTCCCCTTTCAAAGTCATGATAAAGGAGGAAAAAGAAATTCGATTGCTTCAGGTCTGCGCTTCAATAAAAGACGCATTACCAGTTTGAATGTTACTTATGAATATTTTATTTTTCCAAACAAGCCAAACTTTATTGAAAATATTAAAATATGAATTTTTTTAACAAGCGATCAAGTTTCAAAGCAAACAACAACTGATTTGTACTTTGCTCTCCGAAAAGTCGATATTTATAAAGTACTTACCTTTAGGTTTGCCAGTAGTTCCTGAAGAATAAACAATGTATGCTAAATCATCAATCGTACTTGCCACTTCCTTCAGATGCGGCTTCGAAGAATTTTCCTCTTGAAGTTTCTCTTCCCAGCCCTCGTTCAATACGATCACCTCAACGGAGCTAGGTAATCTCTGTTTTAAACTTGCGTCCGTAATCACTGCGACGGGTTTCGCATCCTCCAGAATCGAACAAAGCAAAGTTTTGGGATAAGAAAGTTCCAAGGGCAGATAAGCCCCGCCGGCTTTCAAAATCGCGACGTAGGCCAAAGGGTATTCCAGCGATCTCTCGAGAAATATACCAACGGCGCCATTTCTTTCGACCCCTTTGTGTCTGAGATTTGTCGCCAAGACATCCGTAAGATGGTCCAGCTCTGAGAAGGACAGTGATCGTCCATCATCCGACACAACAGCTGTTGCGGTCTGTTGAGTTATTTTCATCTGGCGCACAAAAATCTCATGAAGACAACCTTCCGTTTCGTATTCCATGGTTTTGATTCGTTTCACACACTGTTACTGTTAGCGCAAAACTAAAAAAGGCAGTCAGACGTGATCCTTCATTCCGACAGGATATCCCCCACAAGACAACAAATCCTGACTTCTCACCAACCACGTGTTTGGACCTATTGTTGTTACTCATCACACCACTTCCTGTGAGTGCATATTTCACTTCCGGTTTCCAACAGTGAATGGGCGTTTTTGCCAGGTGTTTGTTGCACGAGTTCTGATGGAAAGTGACAACTTTCCGATGATCTCCAACAAAAATATCCCCTGAGTGTTTTTTTTTTTTTTTTTTACGTGGTAACGGGAAAATCAAAGGTTTGCAAAGACTCAAGTCAATGTTCAAGTTCAGTCAGGTTTTCTATTTAGACGAGTTTTATTAGATGATTGGCTATTATGTTTGTTATGTAATTTTCCGTTTTTGACAAAACTTTGCTGTGTTTATCTGTAACAAAAATATACGAATGCTGAATCACGACCGAAAAAAAGTCCAGTTTCATCAAACGAAACCGTGAAGTTTTTGTTATCTTTCTGTCGATATTATACAACGAACATCCCTATTGACCCAGTCAGCATTCTCGATGGTTCGTGCATCAGATACAGGCCAGAGGGGTCCTGGGTTCCAGGCAAAGGTCACGCTCACAGTCAACGCCAAGGCACGCGTCTTAACCCTGTCACTCCCATGAGTGACCAAGACAGAATTTCTCCTTACAATATCAATATAATATCAAACAGAAAAGTGATGAGAGAAAAAAAAAATATCAATCAGGGGATTATAAGTTGATCCAATACCAAATTCTTCAAACTGACATCATAAGAACTGTATGACAGACAGTAAGGAGAATTACTAGTGAGATCATGGGAGTTAAAGGGTTTATTCTTTTGAAGCTGTCGTTAAGATCTCTCTAACCCCACTATCCTTTGATCCCTGAGGCTTACTAATATCAAATTTCTTCATATAATATTACTTGCGAATCACAGATGAACAAACTGATAAAGGACACGAGGAAAAGGAAAATGATCTCCAACTAAAGAAGCTCTTGATTGTTAATCGAATTCTCCTTATCAGCAGCAGAAAAAAATGTATAGTAAACGGTATGGAGAAACTAAATGTTTGTGTAAAAGGTTAGAAGCCAGGCAGGCTGCAAGCTAAAGTTGTGTGAACCACAGGCAGACCACAGTGGTTGACACGAGGCGTAATTTCAAAATAAGACCCTTCAAACGCCCCATGAAGGCTAAAAAATATCACAAATACGTCAATTATAATTTCATTTAACTTAGCTGAGATATTCCAACCGAGATGTAATTTAGATATGCAATTTTCAGAGCTTTATTCATGACCCTCATGGATTTTGCTCATCCACTTCAACAACTATTAACCACGAACATATGGGTGGGCAGCCTATGTGTGAACAACTAAATCAGTGGTGCTTTCCGGTCATCTTATTGCCATATATTGTAGTTATTATTATAATTTTTGGCTCATATTAGTCATTATGGTTACGATAATGTTAATAATGATATTATCATTTAAAATCATCATTACTACTGTTTTCTTTATTTCCTTCGTGATAACTAGTTCCCAGTCTTAAAAAAATATTTTTGCGAGACCGAAAATTTATTTACAGCCACTGTTAAAAAACTGAGTCTCCTTTGCCGCCGTTCTATGGATGTCGCGTTACATCCAAAGAACAGCTACGATGGTGACTACCGTTAACCCTGTTTTTGTCGAGATGTCACTGTTAAATTGAACAAATTAAATGATAAGCAGAGTTAAATAATGCCTTATTTAAGTATCAACCGCGAGACCATTCGAGATTTAAGCTATTGTCTGGATTACTCAACTACAGTTTGATTGGAAATTGCTTCTCTTTTTAGGCATGGGCGAGACATGTCGAGGAGAGTTTCACGCACGCATGATCCGTGATCAGGTGGATCAGTATCAGATACCTAGACGAAATTTCAGGCGGAAAAGATATCACTGTAAGAAGTAATAGTCCCCAACTCACAAAGTGAAAATGTTTGAGCCTTTCTGAACAAAAATGCACATAACGCAATTCAGTGCAAATTGAATTTGAATGAAAGAAAAGTTCTTCTAACTTGGGAATTTACTCCTCCCATAAACCTAAAACGGTGCATCCTTGGATGAAAAAAAGTGAATAAGAAGCATCAAAATCAAAGCAGCTGCCAAATCTAAGTAAACATGCAAAACACCATAATTGATTTATAGGTTCATGAAATTTTATTGGATGAACAACACATCTTCTGATAAGGACTTAAAGTACTTCCATACTAAGAATCAGTCACATGGCTCATAAATGTTTGTTTAATGATATCAAAAGCCTTCAACACACTCTTTAATAGTTGGCTTTAGCAATGATTTAGCAGTTTACCCACCGAGAATCAACAAAGAACGTCACAAATACTTTTCAGTTTTTACTGACAGAAGGCCTTGGGTTCTACTTGTTACCTTTAGTACCCCACCCTCAGTGCAAAGAAAGCACACAAAACTTACTGCTTAAACATAGGAAGGGAATTGATTTCCCCTTGCTTAATACTGGCATTCACTAACATTAGCAAAGTTCCAGTGATTTATATTTAGACCTAAGAAGTGTATGGGCTTTTCTATAGTACTGTGTGAAAAACAGTTTAGAGCATAATGGTGAGATTGTTATTGTTTCTATTGATGCAACTTTTTATCAGCCACAGCAAGACCCACAGCTGTGTTCAGCTGCTTGCCCTTAACAATTCCCCAGACTACATGATCACTGAGGCCCAAGATCTGCGCAGTGGCTAATGCTGCACCATCAGGATTGAGAGCAGTGGTACAACCCAAACCAGAGGGCAGGCGTAGAGAAGACCAGATGTCCTGTGCACCCCACTGGGACGATGGTGGTGGACAGTTGATCACTGGGAATGCTGAATTGCCAGACAAAACCGGTCCAAGGCCATTACTACGTCCAGCAACTGCAATGATGACAACTGGGATGCCCTGACCTTCATACCACTGCAGGACTTGCAGGGCATCTTCAGTACCCTTATGTGCAGAGCAGATGCGAAGATCAGTGGGAATGCCAAATTCCTTTAGCGATGACTCGATCTTCTTACAATGGTCCACGTCACTTGGGGAGCCCATGAAAATGACAGCATGCCCTGGATGATGTTGGTTAAGTTTCTGCACTTCACCCGCAACCCATTGGTAATTCTTTTTGACCTGTTCCAGTGCTTCTGGTGTCACCTCAGGTAGATTTCTGTACACTTGCTTGTCTCGCATAAGACGCTTGTCACCAGATGGCCAAATCCTCCAGGAGTCATTGTCTATGACATCAGCAAGAAGAAGATCACCTGTCTTGCGATCGATCCCAAACTCAATCTTCATGTCAACTAGAGCTACATCTACAGTTGCCCAGGCTCTTTCAATGATTTCAAAGACAGTGACAGCCGTTTCACCCATCACATTCAGCTCATGTTTGCCAATCTTCCTTCCACCTGCAGTGAGTTCTGCCTCCACGCACTCCTCATATGTCCAAAATGGATCGTGCTGAGCGTCATCTTTAAAAAACATTTCCAACTTGACAGGAGCAAATCTGTATCCTTCCTTGACCCCAGGGTACCTCTTCAGGAAAGAACCTGTGGCAATACGGCGAGTCACCACTTCAAGTGGGATCATATCACAGTTAATCCCAATGAAGGCTTCATCATTGTGCTTCTTCACAAAATGGGTCTTGATGCCACAGGTGCTAAGCAGCTCAAAGATAGCAGATGTAGTGACAGTGCTGAATTTTGCCTTGCCAGCTAAGTCGCTTTTTCTTGTGCTATCGAATGCCGTGATTTTGTCCTTTGATTTCAGTAGCACATGATTACCATCTGGTGAGTCTGGTAATTCATAGATGATCTTGGTTTTACCTTGGTTTAGCTCTTTTCCAATCTTGATTTCTACAAAGGTTACCAAAAAACAACTTTTAGTATTTTAAAATTACAAAGTAACTTTTAAAAAACAAAGATATATACAACTAATAGCTGCACTACAACAACTATGTGCTGTAAAAATGCTTGAATGCATATTTGGGCATAAGCATAGAAAGGACCTCATAACTTGCTTAAGAAAAATAACAGAAACAACATGCAGTGGTGTCATTGCTTCTGAAAAGCTCCACTTCCAAAATGCACTTAGTTCACTTTGAAACATACTGCCAACATTCTCAACTTTCTCCTCTGTAAGGAGAGTTTTTGAATAGCTCTAATTTTGGGTGGACAATTGATTCAGATTGGTGTAGATTGTAGGCCTGGCCTGGATGAAAAGGTTGCAGTCTCATGATTTATCCTGTAGAATATGAACACATCCCTGGCAATGAAATGAAAATATTATTTTTCATTACCACATGGATTAACACGATGTTCATTAGTTGGCAAAGATTTGAAAAGGGGTGACTGTGTTGACAATACATGATTTGACCTCTTTCAGGACTAATTTATCGAGATCACGTATAAAAATAAAACATAATAGAAACACTTCAAATGTTGTGCAAATAAGCACACAGCGGGCAAAAGGAGTTTTGGTTTGGGGCAAGCGAACGTGACTTGTCTCAGCTTCAATTGGTGATTGCACAATCTGCACATCACAGACATAACTAATCAAACCAAAATTTATGTACGCTTGCCATTTCGTCCGACAATGCAATTTTACGCTAAAAAACAGTGCATCTCAGTACAGTCTGAAAATCTGGCATCTAATTTCATCGCTGGGGGCAAAAAAAAGGCGAATCAACCCCCCAAAAAAGTTAACTTCTTAACATTCTGATGGCGAGGTAGCACATGGTGTTAGCAGCTGTTTGTGCAGTACAGCAGTTTTGTGCAATAGCCACAATCCTCGCAAAAATATTTTCCATTTGCGTTATTAAAATGGCACGAGTCGACTACAAAAAAAATGGTTTAAACTTGTAAAGTAACACTCGTGGCCAGGCGATTACATCTTCTTCGATACGCATGGTGGATACAAGCAAATTTAGAAGCCATGACATCCATTAAATCGAAAAAATAAAAACTTCAGGAGTCAATCGCTCAGTATTTTTTGACTTATATCAACCCTAGATTATTAGCTTTCGATAGACTTACCTGAGGCTGGTTTCTCGTCTGCCATTGTTGGAGAAAACTCCTGAAGATCGCAACTATAGACGCTTTCCTTCGAATTTTTCAGCAAAAGCACGTGGAGCTCATCTCTGTTGAGGAAGCATGTGATTCAGTCAGAGCCAATCATAAGGTGTGAATTTCCGCGGTATTATGGAATATCCAATCAGAACCATTACAATCCTATTGCCGCCAACTCAAATTGTAATTATCTTTCTGGATTTTTCAGGGTCTTTCAGACAGTCATGGGCGATTACATCAAATCTTTTCATTCGCCAGACGAGTTTCGTTCTTGAACTTAGTTTCGTTGATTAGATCGACAACACAGGAGAAAAAATGGGATCTTTTTTCATCTCTCCACTTATATAACTCCTCTACAAGCTTGTGGTATTCGTGGTTTTGTGTCGATCAAGTAAGGAAGAACTTGACTAATAATGGCGTCCATTGAGACAGGCTTAACGCATGCTTGCGGCGTTTTCGCTTGTGTAAGAGCCGAAGGAGTTACTTCAGAGGAAGTTGATGTCGCCAGTATGATTTCTCTCGGTCTAGTTTCACTTCAACATCGGTAAGTTCGATTATTTTGATTTTAGATGCCTAAGTTAAAGCGAGGAATAGTTCGGCTGGCCTTTAATCAATACAACTTTACATATTGATGATGCATGTGTCTAAAGTTCGTCAGACAATGCTGATTAAATTTTTTTTGAGTCCTTGAATAAAGCATTAGCCTTGGTAGATTCAGTTGAAGACCTCACCATTTTTAGACGAGAAACTGATCGTTTTTTAGAAGGATGAGCTGAAAATGAAATTCCATTTCCGTTTCTTCTTTTTGTGATCAGCACATTAGCACCTTGGATTTAGAAGTGCTAACCTGTTGTGGGTTCTAATATTTCTGGCAATAGAAAAGTTGCGGGTTTACCACAAAGAAGGGAACTCCAATCCTGATGATTCTATAATCTCAAAATTTAAAATTATCACTTCCAAACACCGACGTCTCATCACATGGCAACGAATCATTAAGGAAATGAAATAATAATGAATTTTTCATGCGTTATATTTGATGTTTAAAATGTTTGAGTTGTAAATGTGTGGTGATTATTATTAATATTGATCAACCTTAATTTTGTATCGTGTAAATATGTTTGATATTCAACTATTATTTGTGTTACCTCCCTGGATTGTGTGATCTAGTTGGGTAACTACCACATTGACAATTTTTTTATGATTATGACTGTGAATGTAATAATTATTATCAGGGTCTTTGCGTTGTTTGATAATTTGTGTTGTGTTGTTGGATTATTTTCTCTGCTGAAGGACTAATTCTGAAAGTGTCAGCCATAAAGACTCTCAGCTAGCTAGTTTACACTTTAAACTCAGTTGGTATAATCAATTATGCTGCAATACCCCTCACTGATACAGCACAACAGTCTTTTAGAAACTTACTGCCTTGTTTCACCTATAAGTTGGTTTCTCTGAACATTCTTTCACCATAAATTACCTACTCATAACCTACTTATGAATAAAACTATATGTCCAGGGATTGTCAAAAACCAGAGGCTGGGTCAGACTTTGCCAGCGCACAATGTTCTCAAGACCATTACCTGTTGTTATTATTTATTTTGTTTTAACCCAAACATAAGGGAAGGGGTGTTGTTGCCATTTCACATCCTCAACGCTTGCTACCCTTCTCTAGGGCCAATACTTTTCAACTTATGGTTGCTGTAGAAATGTTATATCAAAAAAATACTAGAATATGCAGATGAATGAATGAATGTATCTGGAATTGTGTTTTCTTACTCAAGGGGCCAAGAAAGTTGTGGAATAGTGACAAATGATGGCAAAAAGTTCCATCAGCATAAAGGAATGGGACTAGTGAACCAGGTCTTCCAGGAACAGCACATAAAATCACTCCCAGGATATATGGGTATTGGACACACACGCTACTCAACTGCAGGGGCATCAGAACTCCTTAACTGTCAACCATTTGTAGTAGACACAATTCATGGACGTATGGCTGTTGGACACAATGGGGAACTGGTGAATGCTAAAGCATTGCGAAAAAAGGTTCTCCTCAATGGAACTGGTCTATCAACAGGAAGTGACAGCGAAGTAATTACACAGCTGTTGACGGCTACACCTCCATGTGGAGAACCTGATGGTCCAAACTGGCCTGGAAGAATTTACGAAATGATGCAACTCACACAGCTGGCTTACTCGCTTGTCATCATGACCCAAGACTGCATATATGCTGTCAGGGACCCTCATGGAAATCGACCACTGTGTATTGGTAAACTGATGAATTTGAATAGTAGCCCACAGATGGCACGTCTTGGTGGAGAAATTATCCAGAATGGAGAGATTCATGATGAAAACTGTACACTAGGTTGGGTGGTGTCTTCAGAATCCTGTGGTTTCCACTCATTTGGGGCTTCTATGTGCAGAGAAATCAAGCCTGGTGAAATTGTGGAGTTAACAGCAAAAGGTTTTGAGTCAAAGAGAATTGTTCCACTTCAAAACCCAGAAAAACCACCATCATTCTGCATTTTTGAGTATGTGTACTTTGCACGACCAGACAGCATGTTTGAGGGACAGATGGTCTATGGTGTGCGCCAGGAATGTGGCAGGCAGCTAGCTGTAGAAGCCCCTGTGGAAGCAGAGCTAGTCAGCACTGTACCAGAGTCAGCCACTCCTGCAGCATTGGGTTACTCCTTACAGACTGGCATACCTTATGTTGAGGTACTCACCAAAAATCGTTACGTAGGACGGACATTTATACAGCCTAGTGACAGGCTTCGGAAGCTTGGTGTTGCCAGGAAATTTGGACCACTGTCAATGAATTTCAAGGGAAAGAGGGTTGTGCTGATTGATGATTCCATTGTAAGGGGAAACACAATGGGCCCTATAATCAAACTCTTGAAACAGGCAGGAGCTAGAGAGGTGAGTCATGTGCCATAGCCTTTTTTAACTGTCGTACATTTGAACCATAAAAGTAGCTAAAAAGCAAATATATTAGAAGATTCAGGATCTGTTTGTATATAGGAAGCCACACAATTTCACATATGACAATTTATGAAGGAGTGAATTGAAAAAATGTAGGTGCAAAAGGTATTAGTTCCTCTCTTAACACTTTAACTCCCAGATCAAAATTGTAATTCTCCTCACTCCCAACCATACAATTCTTATAATTTTAGTTCAGAGAATTAAGTATAGGATCAACTAACTATCCCCAAATTTATATTTTTCCTCACTCTTATCACTTATCTGGTTGATATTGTGTTGATATTGTAAGGAGAAATTCTGTCTTGGTCACTTATGGGAGTTAAAGGGTTAAGCAACGTGGCTCACGCCACTGGTGATGATGCAAGTCCATTGCAAGTTACTTGACCAGCATTTTGTCAGGTTTCCTTGACAGTGAGATGGAACAATTAACCACCTTAACAATCAAGAGCTTCTTTAGTTGGTGATCATTTCCATTATTCTCATGACCTCAATGTTTTTGTCAGGGGTGAAACTGATAAAAGAAATTAGATGAAATTAGAAATCAACATTCTCGGGTGTTAAAGAGTTAGTGCTTTTGGAGAGGCATTGTGAGACTCAAATATCTTTCCCAAGAGTGCAACACAATGATATGACTAGGCGTAGGCCCCAGTATCTCAAACAGGAGTCCAGAACTTAATCCATGTGCAGTGGTGTGGCTCACAAGCAACACATACTCACTTTATTATTCCCCTACTACTTTCTGCAGTAATTAGATATGTAATCATTCTACCTGGGAAAAGTAGCTATTTCAAACATTCTTTATCCAACAGAAATCAAGATGATATATTATCAAATTCTTTAAACCGAATTACTCCCCTATTTTACACTAGGTTCATATCCGTGTGGCATCACCACCAGTCAAGTATCCCTGTTACATGGGAATCAACATTCCAACAAAGGAAGAACTGATTGCAAATAAGATGCATGCAGAGGAACTAGCAGAACATTTGGGAGCTGACAGTTTGGTTTACTTGAGTTTAGATGGCCTTGAGACAGCTGTGCGCTCTGGTATAGTCAATCCTGCTGGTGAGAAAATTGGCCACTGTACAGCCTGCTTGAGTGGACAGTATCCAGTTGATGTGCTGGATTGGTGAATAATGCCTAGAGCAGAAATATATTTGTGCAACCAAGCTCTGTCTGAAGCTTGTATAAGTTATTTAGTGTTTTTCTACCAAGATACCCTGATTAGGGGATCAAACCTTGAATAAGGTTGATAGGGTGAACATCAAATCACTTACTGTACTAAAAGCAAGAGAATATATTCAACATAAAGCCAATCTTAAAGTCACCATGAACTGCAGACTAGGTAACAACAAACTGAACCATTAATACATAAATACCTAGCTAAAAGCCAAATGTTAATGATAACTCTCAGCAATAGTTGGTTAATTGAAGACAGTTCCTCTCTGCAAGGCTAATGCTGTTAAAAGCCAAACTGCTAACGCAACCTTTTTGGTTGTGACTCAGGCTTGGAAGAGACAGTTAAAATATCTTATCAGTTAACAGTCTTGTAGCAGGAATTTTGTGGACTAGGCATTCCTTAGATCATACATGTAAGCCAGGAAACCTAGTCCTGGATTACTTTGTATGAGCAGTGTAATTTATTCCTTTATATCAGTATTTTTGATGCCCAAGGAGAGAAAAATGTGAGTTCAATTTACAAAGATGTATCACTATTTAGAAAGAGAGTTCCTGAGTGTGAAAACCAGACAGTTTAAATTCCTTTCATAATGATATTTTTAAATTTTAAGAGAGATTGTTTTAGAAAAGATTGAGATACTAAGTCAAGAACAATCTTCCAGTAACTCTAAAGCTGCACTTAACTCAGCTTCTTATCAAAAGTGTAAGATTTCTAGTTTTTTTCTTTTTCTCGATAGGGGTCAGGTTTTGAGTTATGTTTTGAAGTTATCTGAGTGGTTTAAAACTGTGTTTTTCTGATGAATGAGTAAGAATTCTTGGGAAAAACCTGCTGGTTTTAAATTCCTCCTGGCTTGACCTTGCTCCCATGTAGTCAAGTAGTCGCCTTTTTATTTTTAAGTTTACTGATTCTAGTTCAAAACCATAAACAGGGAGAGTTAGTGTGGCTATGTTTTCAACATCCAATCATACAAAACGAGGTCATGTAATGAGTGTCCATACATAAACTTGTACACAGGAAATTTCTACCAACTTTTTGGAACTTATGTCACAAAAATATATTGGTAGAGATTTCTATTAACCTTAAATTATTTTTTTTGTTTTAAGAAACATTTTGTGGTGTGAATCTTCAGATTCTAATTTCCCAATTTAATTGTGGTGTTTTGAAATAAAGGAGTGATACATTCAATGCAATATATTGTTATTATTTGTAAGCAGTGCTTGGAACCAATTCTTTAAAGTTCCATAGTTATCGAGTCTTGATCGTTCATTCTCCTATGGCAAAGGGAACTGGATTGAGTAATCATCAGGTTTAAAAATCCAGTTGAATAATTAATACTGTAATGAAGGATGCTATTCATCTTCTTAAGAATAGGTAGAGAAAATCTGACTCGCCAAGAGGAATCAAATCCTAGTTGTTGTAATTGACATTTGCAGTGTACACAAGTAACATTGCCATCACATAACACTTCACATCTTTGGACACAAAATTAATGGGTTCACACTGACTCGAGATTTCCAATTATCCTGACCTCTTTCAAAAAGGTAAATTTTGCTTGACTCAAATTAAAACTCCTCGACTCTTCCCCAAATTCTTGCCCACTGTAAAAGAGGTTTTAGTTTGTTTTCCCAGCTAAGGGAGGTTAGTATAAATTTATTTTATAGAAATCTTCAAAGTAGGAACCCAATAAGCCCAGGGAAGGGAAGTGAGTTTAAATTAATTTTTAAAATATATAGGCAGTACAAACCCAATCAGCCTTGATCACAGAGGCAGACCATAGAGAAAACTAATTTTACAGTAAATTAATCCAATAATTTTACAAACATTCTCTCCCTTCTCACCCCCAACTGTATGGAATTCTACAAGTCCCTTGCTGAAGAGGATAATATTGAGTAACAGGAAACAAATCATATTGTTCCTGGAATTTCATCTCTCACCACTTGCCAAATTGATGTAATTGCAAATTTAACACTCTCCTTACTAAATCTTTGCTCCATTCAGTGACAAGAAATGACGAACTTCCCACAATATCAATAAATTTAAAGGTAGAAGGGTGGCGAGAAGAAGGAAATCTGAGGATACTTTTGATTTAGAACCAAATTCTCCCAACTAGAGTTCAAGTATGACATTCAGTGGGGAAAACTGATATTTGGGTCTTAGTGAAAGGATTAGTACCCTGCCTTTTATTTTGATGGGATTTTACACCTGATCTCCCCCACTGAAGTGCAGCACTCAAAATGAGCTGACCAGCCAGTTGACGATCACACTGGTATTGGGTATGAAGGCTTTCACAGCTTTTCTTTGAATGGAATCAGTTGTGAATCTAGTCAATAGTAAACAAGGATATTCATCTTTCTCAACTACCAGATGTAACACAAGGATGTAATCCCCAACTTCAAATAAGCAAATGTAAAAATGGAATAAATACCATCACCGCCAAAATATCAATTCAAATGAAAATAAAATAGCCTTTATTCAATTTGCATTTTCTCAGGCAAATCACCTTTAGTTAAGATCATATTATTCTGCTTAGCAGCACTCTCGATATTCACAACTTATTCAATAATTTTTATCCACAATTAAATACATGAATCTCTCCCTTCTTATACTATTTTCTTATCACATGACAATTTCAAGACAATCTTGTCAAATAACGTCAAATTGAAGGTCAAAGAATTCCTTCTTATGTCCATGGATATCACTTTCATCATTGACTGTTGAATACAACATGTGACATAATTTCGGGCTTAGTCATTGAAAGTAGTTTTCTGTACAAAAATAACATTCACATTATCCACTTTGTACAGTTACTCCTCAAAACATTTACAACCTTGGTAGGTTTCATACTTATACATATAAATAAAAGCTCTTCATCTACAAGTCTGTTGCAATTATCACAAATTTTCAAGAAGTTAGAAAATTATTAACTAGTAGTGAGGTAAGTTAGTGTTAACTGAGTTGAGAACGTATATTGGCCACCGTAAAGAGTAAAAAAACTGACGTTTCGAGCCCTTCGTAAGAGCGATAGGTGGCCAATTTACGTTTTCAACTCAATTTAACACGAAATTACCTGCTATACTCTTGCTGCACCACAGTTTCTTTAAAAACTCACCCCCTTTATTAGTAGTGAGAGGTATTGAGTACAACAGGGCAGTATCCACAATGGTATCACTAGGAAATTTAAGAAACCATGAATGCAATAACAACAGGTTTAATGAGCAGAGAGATAAAAACTTTAAAGATTTAATTTCTATCCTCTGCTAAAAGATATTCCCCTGCTAATTCTGACCAAAAAGAGTACTAGGAGTTAAAGAAATTCATGTTTCCCTGTTCAGGGTCAAATACAGTACTTTCTTTCTGTAAGAAGAAAAAATGTAGCACTGCCATTGCCATCAAACTTCCTTTAACTTGCTTTTCTTAATACAGACATCTTTACACCAAGACTTGAGTGTACAAAAGGCACTCTGTCATATTGCCAACAAGCCATCAGGTTACACACAAACTACATTGGTTACCCTGTGCAATGCTCAGTTTAAGTCTCTGGTATTATTTTAGATGGTACATTATCTTGAGGGAAACTCAGCTTTATCTGCCTTTCTGCCATCCTTCTACAAAGCTTTTTGTACATTTTATAGAGCTGCTTTCTGGTCTCTTTCACTCTTCACAACTGCATGATTAAATTATTCTTTTTCCTCTTCCTGCGATAGATTTGAGGACTCTGCATGATACTGAATTACAGCTTCGTCTTTGATAAATTCTCCGTTTAAATTCTCAATCTTTTCATCATCAGTTCTATTTATTTCCTCCTGTTCACTGAAAAAGATCTCAAAATTTAAGCTCTTTGGTCTTTGTTTCGCATGTGAGCTGTGTCTATCTGGATAGCGATGATGAACAGGGTGATTTTCCTTGACTGCTGGTGACAAGTCCTGGTAACTCTCACCAACCGCAAGTTTCCGCCCATCTTGTAGAGATTTGCTGAGTTTCTCTAGGGCATTAACCTAAAGCAAAACAAAAAAAAACAATTATTAGCCAAATCAATCCCAGATCACACTCATGCAGAAAAAATTGAAAACACTTGTGATAACTTTTAATCACTGATTAATACAGCAGTCCATCACTGACAAAGGCTTGTGGTGTATTAATATTAGTACCCCAATTGTCTTCCCAGGGGACATTTCCCTCTCCATTATGATCTCCAGCTATTGTCTCTATAATAATCTTACACTGCAAAAGTCGGAAACATCATTGCTGCTTCAGCAGGGTATGGCAACTTATGCCAATTGATGCAATTACCACAAAAAATATACAAGTATATCACCTCAGTTGACCTTAATTCATTCAAAGCTGGATTGTGATTAGAAAAAGTGATTGAGGTAGGTATGTGCTGTCTTAGGAAAATAAACCTTCCTCCTCTCAATATTTGGTACCTTCATAACCTTACACATCTCTTTTTGATTGTAGGGTCTGAGAGATGACTGGGATTGCATAATCACTACACACCTGGACGATCAATGATTTTGATGTGAGAGGTTACCAACCAATCTCTGAATTTACAACTTGTGACAACTTGTTCAGGAGTTTTGACACAGAGAAGAAACATATTAAGTTACTGAGGGGATATTCTACAGTTTCACTGGTTACTAAAAATGCTTTTGTTTACTGCTTAAAGTTAAGAACTTTCTTTAAAGTCGGTGTACTGTATGTGTATTGATGACTTGCTTTTACCCTAATTCACTTTTGTTTTAACCAGCTCAAAAGTTAAGTTATCTTTCAAAAAGAACAACAAGTTTACCACAACCATCATCACAAAAAGACAACCACACAAACCCAAAAACCAAACAAAAAAACAAACACACATTAAATTCCTTTTAAAAAGTTGTCAAAATATTTGAATTAATTTTACCGTAGATTATAATTTTTTAAATTTTTTTATAAATTTTATCAAGTTATTAATACAGAAAAAAAATATCAAAACTCACCTTTGGTATTAATACCTTACCTTAATAAATTAAAATCTTGAACTTGAAGGACAGATGAGCTGGATTAGATTTGTGAACATTAGCATGATCATGGAAGGATCCTTAGAGACATCTTTAACAGATTGAAGTAAATACCAGTAGTTTATTTCCCCTGAAGATAATTCTTAGTTGGTGATTTAGAAACAGAAGAAAATTTAATTTACAGAGTAGTGTCATCTCACTTGTTTAGGCATAGCTACCAATTAAGAATGCTACACTACAATTTAGATGTTGAATGATTTATCAAGTCCTTTTCTTAATTTCAATCATAGTTGATTGAGATATATCATTGTTCAAGTCAGAGCAGTTATGTCAACTACAGATATCCCTGATTAAGTCATAGAAGATGGATTTAAGAATGACAAAGGTACCAAAGTTTAATAAATTTTCAGTAATGTTTATGTATTGGTTAGCTTGGTCTTTCATCAGTTTAAACCTAGAATTCTTTTACTAAGAGGAGGCTTTCACTCTTTCTACCTGATTACTCCATACAAAATGGATTCGTCAAAAAAGGATACTACAACTATTCAATTAGTTTCAGTTATGTTTAATGAATCATTAATTTTCTGTCTTTTGGTTATCAACATGAATGTTTTTAAATAAGTTACTTAGAAAAAAGATTACTCTTTTAGTGTTGCTTCCTTAAAATTTAGGAAAGAGTGGGTCAAAACAAGGGAAGTTGGACTTTGAAAATTTAAAATGACTTCCACTTGCATTTAAAATTAAAATTTCTCATTTCTAATAAATTATATACAAGTTTATTTTCAAAAGGTTATCTTGGTTTTATTACAAAAATAGAAATGAAAATATTACAGGAATAAATAAACAAGGAGGGCTACAACAAAAATTATGTTTAATATTTATATATATGTCAGTGTTTTATTTCTTCCTTTATATAAAATTATAAGCAATGTAATTAACAACAGCAATTCAATCATTTTGTTTGCTGCTTGACTCACTTAAATGTTACTATCTTTTTTAAAAAGTTTTTAAAATTAAATTTAAGCCAAGCTTAAACATTTTATTGCATTGAATCATTCTTTAAGTTGTAATTTAGAATTTTTAACTCTCACATTACAGGTAAGATTATCAGAAAATGTCTGTGCAACATGGTTATCTAGCATTATAACCTAAATTTCATTGGTGGTTGTCTAAGAACTTTACATTTTCCTTGTGCAGTGGGTGGGTTCCCAATGGTACCATTTTTTGCCTTTCTCTGTGGACTCTGTGGAGTTGGGGACCCACCAGGGCTCTTGGCCTGACCTAATGGTCTCTTCCATGCAGGAACATAATTAGCAGGGGTTCTCACAGAGGGTCTCTTTTGGGGAGTGTTAGTTTTCACACTCTTCAATTGTTCTGGTTCATCCATAATGATGTTGAGAGAGTCTGTGGCTTTGTGAAAATCCTTTCTAATAATGTTCCTTGATAAAGGTGAAAGGGCTTTTCTTCTGACATGGTCCTTTTGTGGACCCTTGCTCCTGGGGTTCTCCCTTCCTTTCTGTGCAACAAAAACAAGTGAGAAATCAGTTACCAGAAGAGCAGAAATGTGTGGAGTTCCTCTCTACAATGCACACTCTTGAAGCCATTTTAAAAAAAAATGCATGGTACCATTTAAAATGTCCATCAATGGCATTTGGAAAAAGGAAGTCACCCCAAAAAATATATTCTACAATGAAGCAAATTGAGAAAATGCAAAGATGGGGCCACCTGAGAAACTTTGAGATAGTCTTCAATAAAAAGGAAACAAAAAAATTATTTTTTTTTTTATAACACTGAGTAAAAGCACCAATTTCAAGTATCCACAAGTTTTTCCTGCTAAGATAAAGGTTTGTCCAACTTTATTAATTCATAATAGGAATAAAGGAAATTGGCATTTTCAGGTTTAATACTTTACACAAAGAACATCAATCTCTGATTTAATTTTATGGTAAATGCATTTTTATAAAAATGGCAGATTAAATCGTACTCAAACCAATATTTACACTCAGCTCAAATAAAAAGAAGTTTGAAAAAGGATTAAGAGGAAGATGATTTAAAAAATATTTATTTCAAAATAGCATTTTAGTTACAGCAGTATCAAGTTATATTAACCCATGCAATCAGTGTCTTCTTTTAGAGACAAAACCTATGTAATTCTGTAATTCCAAGTAACTGGTAATTTCCTAAGCTTATCTGTACATTTAGTTTCCTATGGAACATTTCAATACCAACTTAACTTTTTTATAAGAAATTATCCTTACTTGTTCGTTCAGAGGGCCATCATGCCTGCTACTTAGATACCAGTAATAATTCATCACCCATGTTTCATTAACCCTTAGTTTACACCCTAACATCAGTATGCATATTCTCCCTACTGTTCTCTATACATTTCCAAAGGCCCTGACAAGGAGAATTTGTTAAAAAAAAATCAAGAGCTTCTTTAGTTGGTGATCATTTCTTTTATTCTTGTTACCTTAATGTTTCACTGAGGGGTGATTTTCCAAGGAGAAACTAGATGCTAGTCACTCTCAGAGGTTTAAGGGTTAAGTATCAAAATTTATAAAAGGAATTACAAGACAAGTGTGAGTTAACTTTTCCCTCTGCAACAAAGATCAGAGCTGAAAATGAAGTCTTCTTTTTCATTGTTTGCATTTTGTTTTCATGAAACTGTACAGCAGTATACCCACCTACCAAAGGTTACATGAAGATGATTTAAGATCTCCATCTACAAAATTGACATGCATTTATTGTATTTTTTTGAGAGACAATTTAAATTTATTTCCTATGTTAGATTTTTTCCATCATTAAATTTACCTTATGCTTACAAATTAACATCTCAATAATAATACTTCTATTTAATTTTATTTATCAAAAATACCTACCTTATAACTCAATTACCCAATACAAAAAAATGCCAAATACTACTCCATTTTGTAAAACAACTCATAGCTGTAACCAGAAATTATTTTGTCGTCAAAAATCATTACAAACTTGCTACTTTTCATTTAAAGTCATACAAATTCAAACCTTGATATCATTCTCTAAATGCAAATTTTTTTTCACCAAACCTTTCAAAACTAGTCTATAATTTATAATTACCTTCTGCTTTTTCTGTACATTTACGTTTTTTAAAATCAAATACAATAAAATTGATGCTACTAATCAAAACCTTTTCAACTTTGCTCAAAGTGATATTATTGCCTTGATTCTCAGATATAAACAACCTTACAAATTTAATTCAGTACCAAAGAAATGCTTATTTGATAAGTAAGTTGATCATAAAGACATAGGCTTTAGAACCTTTAAGGGTTTACATGATTTACATGTTGGTTAATTAATGTTACCCTAGACTTCAACAGCAACATTTGCTCCTTTTGAAAGGCTCATTTTAAGTCTTTTGAGTTCCTCAGTTAAGTTAACTAAACCACTCTTCTTTTTCTCTGACTGATCAGGTATCTTTGTTTCCAAACTATCCTGAGTTTGTTCAGCAGAAGCTGAGTCAAGACTGAGGTTAGCCTTTTCCCCTTTAGAGCCAACCACATTCTCATCTATGAGTGCTGGCTTGAGAACAAGATCTCTTTCAACAAATTGCCACAAGTTAACAGAATCCGTTTTTGTAATTTGGGGTATGTTGAACTTGTCAATTGGAGTTCCATCTTTGTGTTCCACCCTCGCACTATGGGACCTTTTCCTCTGTCTAACTCCACAGTCTTCACAGGAATCATGAATTCTGTGATCACTATTTAAACTAAGGCTATCATTCTGTAATGATGGACTGCACTTTGTCTTCAAATCAGGCTTTCGCCTGTTTTCAGACCAGCCAAAGCTGTGCTTTGCTTGTTGTGGAAGTACACTTTGTTCACTAACAGCATTAAGAACTAAATCAGAAATCTCAAGCTGAGTTTTTGGACTGTGAATATCAGGACTGCTCACATGCCTATAAGGCAAATCCCCACCAGTTAAACTTTCTATATTTTGCCATGCATTTTCGTAAAAGTGTAATCTACTGTCAGACCCATGATGCACGTCATGAGCACTGCTAGGTTGTGAAGGCATGTTGAGAACTTCGTCAGAGAAAACAACTTTCTTTGACTCAATGAGCCTCTGGTTGTCTGTCTGAAAAGACCTCCTCTTTGAATTGGACTGAGCTTTCTTTGAGAAATAGTTTACCGTTTGTACAGCGATGGCAGCTCCTCTTAGTCTTCTTCTTGGATCAAAATTTCTTGTAATTTCCATTTTCAGATTATTATGAATGTCCTTATCTCCTGTTGTATGACCCTGCACAATCAAAGGACATTAACCTTCAGTCTTGCTGCATTAATTTTGTAGATGTTGATAAACACACAGTTTTTTGGGAAAAAACATACATCTACACCACTTGTAACCAATGATAATCTTCACTTGGCCACAAAGAGCTACAAAGTGGTAATCACAACAGTACTGACACAACATCAAAGTTTGAGAAATTGCTAATCAATTCTAGCATGCTGGATGCACCATTAAGAAAGTGATCATAACATACTTTAACCCTTTAACTCCCATGAGTCACCAAGACAGAATTTTTCCTTATAACATCAATACAGTATCAACCAGATAAGTGATGAGAATAAAGAAAAATATCAATTAGGGGATAATTAGTTGATCCAATATTAAATTTTCTGAACTAACATTAAAAGAATTGTATGGTTAACAGTGAGGAGAATTACAAATTTGATCTTGGAGTTAGAGGGTTAAGAATTTTTTTGCCACTATCAATCATAAACCAAAAGTTTGCAGCACATCTGTTAGATACCTTTTTCCTGTAAAAATAAGGCGATGTATTTTACTCCTCCCAGAAATGTAAACTAAAAAACTATGTTAAAAAGTGATGATGAAATAATAATCACCTTTATCCATGAGTGATTTAAAACTTGGAGAGCAGAGAATCTTTTATTGTCATCAACAACAAGCATGTGGTTTATAAGATCCTGGGATGGGAGACAAGATATACAAAAAAAAAATTACTATTATTATAAGAAATAACAAGAGTGCCAATGCCTTGTCAAAAATTATGTTTGCCATTCAATAACACAGGAGTACTGGTGAATATTGGTGAATAATCCCCTCAACTTTGTCTCAGAATTATTCAACAACATTCACTGAGCCTTAGGCAAATAATTGTTAAATATCATTCCATATACATTCCACACACATCCCTGTGAGAGAATCCCTTCCTTAAAACAATAATTGTTAAATATCATTCCATATACATTCCACACACACCCCTGTGAGGGGATCCCTTCCTTAAAACAATACTTGTTAAATATCATTCCGTATACATTCCACACACACACACACCCCTGTGAGGGGATCCCTTCCTTAGAATAATAATTGTTAAATATCATTTTATTTACATTCCACACCCACACCCCTGAAAGCAAATCCCTTTCTTAGATATAGGTTTTATAAATATCACCAAACAAGATTTTTTTTTGGATGCAGCAATTCATACCTTTGCTGAATCTGATATGTCATCCCAAAAGGGTGACAGGTATTCAAATTCTCCAGCAAGAATCAAGTCAAACAGTTCATCCTGGTCAGGACTGCAACATGAAAGGTAAAAAAGTTAAACTCATGGCATAAGACTTTTAACTGATACAGTGAACGGTTTGAACCCAGACAGAACAGTTGGTCAATTAGTCTAATTGTCTGATGAGAGAATACCTGAAAGTCAATTGCTTACAAGTAGAACACTCAAATAATTCTCTATTTAATTGATTTTAAGGAATATAAAGTAAATTTACAAGTTATCAAAAAAAATCACCAAAAAGGAATTTAGAGGAAAAACAAAACTATTTAAAACTTTTGTGAAATAATAACAAACCTTCTGAATGGTGGAAATCCACAAAGAAGAATATAAGTGATAACTCCTGCTGCCCAAATATCAACTTTCAGACCATATCTGTTATAAAAAAAATTAATTTAAATCATGGAGCACCAATATCCTTATTATGACATCATTAGCAGCTGCTTCATGAGAAAAGGTAACTTTGTTTAAGATTCAAACTGGATTGTCAGACATGAACCCTAAGCTACTGAACTTGGTGCTTAACTTTCACTCCCAGTTAGTTTATCGTTAGTCAAGATTATCATAAAAAATCATGATTTACCATTGACAAGAAGATCAATTAATTGCTAAAGCTTAATAAGTCTGTGACAATTAATTAATAATTGTTGTGTCATCCTACTTCCCCCCAGTCTTTCAGCAAGAGCATTGATACAACAATGCATGAACATGAAATTTCTTTTCGCAAAACACAATTGAATGGCATGGCAAGCAGAAAGACCATTATTTGTTGCCAAATATTTGCAAGTTAAGTTGAGGGCTCTTGTTCAATGCAAAGGAAGTAAGAGTAAACCCAGTGATTATAACTTTATTCTTGGTCTGTAAATAATCAAATTTCAAATTTCTTTTCAAATTGTTTCACACTTACCCTGTTTCATCCAGGATTTCAGGTGCAACATAAGTTGGTGTTCCACAAACAAGGAACATGGGGCTTTTCACTTCAGTAGCTAATCCAAAATCTGCTAGCTTCAAGGATTTTCTATTATCTGAATAATTTACAACCTGTACAGAAGCACACAAGAACGTTCAATTAGGATTCTGTACAAATAAAAATCACCACTGACAGTTACCCAAATCATAACACTTAAATTGTGATTCAAAATAGCTTACAACCAAGCTACTTACTAATAAATTTTCTGGTTTAATATCTCTATGTACAACATTCATGGAATGTAGATAATGCAGTGCCGCTGCCAAGTCGCGCACCATATGGCTGGCATCTTTCTCTGTGTACTTGGTGGCCTTTACTATTGCTTCAAAAAGATCTCCTCCCTAAATAAATCAGAAAAAAAGAAATGAAACATTAATTTGGTAACCTTCACTTTTAAGCTTACAGTTGTTCCCTCCGTATCTTGAAAGGAGACCTCCTCAAGCAGGGGTCAGAGGAAAAAATTATTAAATTCCTTCTTGGCAACTTTTCTCATTTACAGCTGATTAAAATATTATAGATAATCAAATCTTTACCAAAGTAAACTGGCTTACAAGGCCAAGGCTAATTAATTGCTATCAGTAGTTATGGTATAATTTTGATCATGACGAAACATCTTGATTCTCACCTTAACTAGTTCCATAACAAGGAATATTTCTTTGGGAGTTTCATACTCTTCAATAAGTTCCACAATATTTTTATGTTTCACTCTTCTTAATATACTAATTTCATTTTCAACCATATGTTCCTGAAAGAGGAATAACAGCATTAGTGTAAAAGGAAGGCAAAACACAATATCAATGACAATCTCTTCTCTTCAACTGCACCTAAGCCACAAGAAATCACAAAGGGTTTTAATCCTTTAACTCCCAAGATCTACTTGCTTATTATCCACTCTAGCTTCTACACATTTCCTTGTAAATTAGTTCTGAAAATTTTGTGTTAAATCAAGATAACAACTGTTAAATGATAGGTTTGAGTATTCCCATAAACTGTATGCTGGATAATGTATGAATACTTGGGGGAGAAGTGCCATGTTTATCACTTCTGGGAGTTAAAGGGTTAAGTAACCCTGCCTAACACCAGACACCACAGGAAGAGATAAGAATAGAGGGTCTCCTTGCAATTTCAATACCACATCCTCAACACAGTGTTGAGAATAAACAAATGCACTGGCTCAAGGGTTGTTTCTTCATTACAGCAAAAAAATTCTCATAACAAATTTCACAGGGAACAACACCTTGATGGCAAAATTGCTTATCAAAGGATTAGCTAGAAGGAGGTTTTTCCCAATGGAAAAAAACAAACAAACAAACAAAAACTTCCCAGTGAACAAAAACTGGATTGATGCTCTGTTCACCACAAGTAGTATGGGATTAATAACATCAACCCTTTTCACCTTTATGACACTTTCCATCTTCACTAACTCTGATCTCCCAAGGCAGATTCAAGTTGTTACAAGACATGTTGCTGAATTGGGTATTGTTTTCAGGACTTCATTTTTAAACACCATTAACAATATAACATTGGGTATCTGTTCAGATGCTCGGGCCCTGGCCATGACACTCTACCAAGGCAAGTTAAGTGAGAGACATTCTGTACAAATAGACCTTACCTTTCCCTTTACTTTGGCTTTGCTAATAATCTTCAGTGCATATTCCTTATTAGTTTTCCTGTCAAGAAATCAAGATGAAAAGTCCATTTCAATGCTCTCTCCTTGTTAAGACTGTTTTTTTTTCAATGCCTCTTTCAGCAATTATACAATTTCACTGATTTTTTTTACAGATTTGAGTTGTTTCCTTGTATTTGTTGCAAAAAAATGACACTTCATTACATATTTGGGTGTGATGTAGAATATAAATGAATGCTCTTCAGTCCAGTAATTTTGTCACTAGTTTGAAGTTATTTTGTTATTTTCAAACATAAAAGTTATTTGTGATGCTATCTATTTTTTACCAAAAAAGTTCATGTGTATATAAGAGCCCCAAAGTTACCCACCTATTTTTACATTCCCTTACAACAGCAAAATTCCCATCTCCTATAACTTTTCCTATTCTGTAGAAGCCATGCACTGATATTCTTTCTCTTTTAGTTTTCTTGGGATCTTTAGCTGTAACTGAAATAAAAAAAATTACATTTGACTCAAATGTAAGATAAAGTACCATACCATAACTGTTAAGCTTGCCTAATACTACCTCCCAGAATTGAACAAAAAATTAAAACTGAGATATCTATTTTCACAACACACTAAAGAATACATTGAAGACTTCAGTTGGTGCCAATATAACTTCATTTTCATCTCCTGCTTTACATATAACACAGACAGCAACCAAACTAGACATAATAAAATTCAAATATCCAACCACAATACAAATTAGTACAGTAAACTAAAAAAACTGCTTTAATTAAAGTTTCATATAAGCAGTAAATTGTTTACAAAGCATTCCAAATAAAAAATTTAAGACAAAACAAATGTTGTTTCTACATATCAAATAAAAATTGAATTTGTTCCATTAAAATCTGTAAAATTTTGTACTGGTGCAATAATGATTCCCTTATGATAAAAAATTCTGCTGGTATAAATTTTACAATAACACATTACAGCAGTATCCATGATATCATTTTTAGAGAAATTATCAGGCATAGGAACATATTGTAAAACTTATAGTTTCAAATGAAATAATGTTCATAATCTTTCCATAATTACTTTAGGCTCAAGAAGGCAAAAAATTCATTTTAAAAATACAGATCATTTATTAAACAAAGTATCCCCACAAGGCTTCTACAAAGAGAAAGAGAATTAATTTAAGAGCAAAAGCAACAATTCCTCAGAAGCTTGGCATGATACATTTTATGCAAAACTGAGTCTTTTCGATTTTCTACTTTCATTATGGTAAAAACCACAGGATTCATTAAGAATCAAAGAAGGAATATTGAAATCAACCAATGAGAAGGCTCTCAGGTGAAAAGTTTAGAGCCACCTGCTATCAAAGGAAGTAAGCTAAGCTGTGAGCCTCTTTCATTTATATAAACTTTTATCAAGATATACAAGCTTTTCAGACTGATTAAACTTTTTTGAATTGTTCATATAATCTGTCAAAAACTTCAATAAAGCACTCTTTAGGGTCAAATTCATTTCCTAACCTTAAATAAAATTAATTTGGTCTAGACACTTTTATGTTTACCTTCATTATTTTATGTCTGGGAAGGTTTTAGTGAATTAAAAATTTTTACTTTATTTTCTTCTCATTTAGTACTTTAAGTATCAGTAATTCAAGCAATAAAAAGCTAACACACCATATTTTTAATGACATATATTGGATGATTTAGTTAATGAAATGAGATTTAAGTTTATTCTTATAATGGTTACTCTTTGAACTTATGCATATTCAACTTTGAGGTAAAATTATTTTTTATTGGAAAAAGCAATAATGATGGCAGATGTGTTTGTTACCAGATAGGTTAAGAGAAGATGGAAGATAAGAATGAACAAAGGGAAAACTAATTATTTATGAGACAGTACCCTTAAAAGGAAACTCAAAGAAAGGATTGGTAACAAGAGAACTTAAAGTAGGATTTCCATAAATGGAATTGTTCTGCTTGTATTACACTTCACAATTTACTGGTGAAGTCACAGCTGGATAGAAAAAGAAAAGGGGAAGATTAGCATGATCTTTGGGGAGATTCAATTCTGCCTCCAAATTCAAAATACAAATGATAAGTAAAAACATTAAGGTGATAATTCCTTGTTATCAACCAAATGACAGTATTGAAGGACTTGAAATGAAACTTTTAAAATGTTACACTTTTGAATTGGGTAAAAATTGACATTGTTATTTTCACTTGCATTTGAACACTACAAACCCTTCACCAAATTAAACTTCTGTTAAACCCACAATTACACCCTTTACTTGCTTAGACCACCAAGCAGTTTTAAATGTTAAAGATAGGGACAGATTAATTTGAGAACAGAGAAGAGACAGAGCTGTCAGGAGTTATCATCTCCATTTATTTGACTACTGGATAACACTCACTAACCATTTAGTACTCTACCAGTTCTTATGGTTCCAAATCAAACATGATGAACTGAAAACAATTTTACAATTGGATTATGTGTTATGGCTTTCATAATCACAATAAAATTTTAGCTGATCAATGCTGGAAATTATTTCAAAATGGACAAGGCCTAGTATCATTTAATAGCCAATTTATTTAAGTCATTCACAACTGAAAAACACCTGTCAAATTGCCACAAGTCAATACCTACCAGGAATCACCAGGAGTTAAAAAAAGTTAAAATAAACAAATGGTTAAAATGAAAGTTGAACAATTTACATGGCTATAAGTTGCAAGTAAAATCTGATAAATTGATTTTTTGGTCAAAATCAAGAAAACTGAAATTGTGTCTTGCATCTTGGTCTTAACAAGTAATAAACCTTGCTTGGGTTAACGTAATTGACAGTGAAGGCAGAAAATGGTGGCAGCCGTTTAAGTCAATCAATCAAAATCCTAGTTTTAGAGTTTTGAAGATTATAACAACTCTTATTCTTCAATCTTTGGCTTGCCTAGAGTATAGTGGGAACTAAAATATTCTACAGCTTTTTTGGCACTCAACAAAAGAGCTTAATCATTGACTATGCACTCCAACTAAATTGCATAACAATTTAACAGCATTTGCTAGCTTCTAACAAGTTGTGACACTAAACTCTACAGTTTTAAGCACTTGACTTTAATAATGAAAATTAATTGAAACCTAACTTAAAAACAAAATTTAAAACTTGCTTATCTTTTACTTAGCGGAATTTCAATATCAGCAAACAACAGCACATTAAATTTCAAGAAAGAACAAAAGTATAATCTACAAGTTGCTTCAAAGGTTTATCTTTAGCACTTGTTTACTTTAAAGTTCAGTGAATTAAACATTTTATTCATGCTCCCAATTCCATGAGAGACAGGGAATAAGCAAGGAGCTCCTTCGTATCTACTCAAATGATGCATCCACACCAGAATCGATTCTCTCTGCAGAGAAAGCATATGACATCAAGGTTTAGTGACTTTAGTTGTCTGAGAATTCCAATTCCCCTTTTTTAAGGGTGCACTCTATTGATATGAAGACAAAAACATGATTGTATTTTACAATACACTAGCAAAATTATTGGACCAGTTTTGCCTCACATACTTTTTAAACCATATTAAAAAAAAAGTTTCAGCACACAGGAACTATCAAGCTACGAAAAAAATTATCGAAAGCTACAATAATTTCAGAAATCATTACAAAAATTGTGTTTTTGTCTCCATATGGTGCAAATGGTGTTTTATGTAATGCAGTAAACAAAAGATCCAAGATTTAATACAAATAGACCATTAAGTCAGTTTTGCACGACCCATGCTCTCCAACTGGTACCTACATTAACATCTTGCTGTTGCCACCTGCTTGAACCCACCCATGCATGGTACTCATTTGTCTTGACCACAAGTTCTAGATTTTAGATCTCCCTTCCCAAATAGAATATTCGGAACCATTGTTCCTAAGCAGAAATGGTCTACATATCAAACAAAAGCTGTCATCCAATTTCTATTTACAATTTGTGTGATTTAAAACTGGCCCAACAATAATTCAGTATTTTCTCACTTTTAAGTAGAGGGGAGCTCCTTGCAAATTGGAATATAAATATAGAAGCAATTTAATATTCACATAACTCAAGAAAAACCCCAAGTAAAATTTTCTCACAAAGACAAAATGGAAGCAGAAATAATAAACCGTCACAGAAATAATAAACTAACAGACAGCTAGGGAAGGAAATACAACATGAACAAGATTCAGTTTGGGATGAAGAAAGACTACTACAAGAGAAGGCAGAGAGAAAACCTTGCAAGGAAAGACAACACAAAACTTGACCCACATGCGAAGTCAGATCTGAGAATCAAACCCAAGTCAAAATGGGAAGAGAGTAGTTTTGATTCCAATGTATCATCCCTGCTTCTGTAATCTAAAGCAGCTTTTGCTAATCAGTTTATGCTTTTGGTGTGTGACAAACACAATTTTTTTTCTTAAGTATTCACAATGCGGGAATCAATGTCATTTAGGATAGATTTATCAGTGCATCAGATGCCAGCAAATCATATCAATAATATTACTCATAAATCATCCACAGAAAGTGATTGTCATAATAATACAATAAATTGAAACTGACTGATAATAGTATAGTCAAGGAAGGGAAATAAACAGATTACATATTAACAATGATGAACAAACATTACAGGTTAACAATGATTGAGTAAACCATTTAGCTAAGTGTTTAAAATTTTACTATTTTAAAGATTAAGCTGGCCTGTCACACAGAAAAAACATTACATTTAGACAAAAGCTGCCTTAGTAGTCCCCAAAATAATAAATAGGAAAAAACAAACTTATAAGGTTGGTATATATATTTTATTCATAAAATAAAGATGATATTTACAGCTTGAATATACAGAACAGGATATTATGGGGAAAAAATCATTCTACACTGTCATTTCTGTTTATCAGGTTATTGATTTAAGTTCGGTTTATCATTTTAGTAAGAAGTTTAATATGCTCTGTTAAAAATATATTGCAAAAATTCAAGCAAGGTTTATTAAAGAATCTTTGATTATATGTTGTGTTTTTGAATGTTTAAATCATGCATTTAGTCTCTCTATGGGTATTCATGCAATTCAACATCACTTCCGGTTTATACTAAGATCAGAAGTTGGCCCTCTTGTGTTAAAAATATTTATAATTCTTTTGCTTCTTGGCGAGATCTTTTATGAAAAGCAATCTTTTCCAATGATACACAGGCTTACCAACCCATAGAGGGCCTTGCACAATGTGCTCTAAATCTCAAGACATATTTCAATGCAGAAGAGAAACCATCTTGTTACAAGAAATTCCTGTTCACAAAGAAGCTGATATTGCTTTAGGTTCACAATTACTTCTTGGGTTTTATTTCAGTTTATTCCCAATTTTTTGGGTTTTATGCAATGAAATATCTACTCAAAATTTTTAACTTCAATTTTATGAATTTATGATATATCTGTTATTATTATGATCAAGGTTCAATGTCACATTTTCTCGTGTAAGCAGAGGAAGTGTTAAATTAACACTTTCTCTATTGTGTGACAAGAAGGGAATCTAAATGATAAACAAATAATTGTTAAAAATTTTCACTCTTCAGAGTCATGAGAAGATTCAGACTTCATCCAAAATCATGCCAATTATAGCTATCAGAGATTATACCATACCAATTAATTATTAGCTTAAACCAATTCATGCACAAAGATGAATGTTTGTTACATAAGCTATGAGGAATAATAAACTTGTTTGTTTGAAATTTTAACTCTAACACTTTGATAGAGAAATCCTAGTGTTTCATGCTGTAATATTTGGTTGTCAATAAGCATAAACAAACAGTTTAAGCATTCTACTGTATCTCAGTGCCAGAAAGAAATTCCTTGAAAAGCTTCCATTCACTTTGGTCTCCATGCTTCTTGTCAAACAATACACAGCAATGTGGAATTGATGGGTGCTCGGGTGAAAGCAGTTTCATAATTCGTTCAGCTGCGAGGTATTGTAGGAAAATTAGTCAGTTAAAAATTGGTCTAGATCAAAAAAGGGAAAATGAAAATAAAACTACATCCTTGAGTCTTCAAAAAGACAGAAAGGTTGATAGGTATCTAATATTTTCCTCTAGCAATTCAATTCCAGAGGCACCTATTGTTTTGTCACAATTGAAATATGGGACAATTTTCTACAAAAACAAGTATTCAAATTATTGACATATGAATAACTTCACTTCCTTCTTTTGACTAGCTCACACAACAGGTTGTGGTATCTTTTGATTTATTTTTTCTCCTCAAAAGCAAATCTGCATCACTTTTTGATCTCTTTCTGAGTGTTTGTGGTAGTTCATTAGACTGAGGAATCTTGTGATCGTAATGATAATTTTCTACAGAGACTTTTGAATCTATGTGAATTTCACTTATGTGTGGGTGAGTTTCTGCCAATGATGACGCCTCATCTAGACTGTCATGTTCAATACTCCGTAAACAGTTTACTCTTTCCTCTAGTTTTTCTAAGGCTGCTTGTAATTCAACAGTAAGTTTTTTCAATTCTCTATTCTCTTGTTCTAATTGTAGAGTTGTGAAACGATCTTGAAGGTCTTTAGCACAAAGCTGATTGAGCTCAGCATCTGGTAAACTTAATGTTCTATGAAGTTTCTTCCTAAGCCCAATTGCTTCATCGTATGATTTATCAATTTCGGAATGTAAGCCTGAATCTTCATCTTCAAACTTTGAAAAAAGTGAAGGAGTGTTTGGTCGACTACTAAATGGAGAAGATGCCTGGCTACTGAGGGGTGATGTGGGCTGGCTACTGTAGGGAGTGGTGGCATGGCTACTTAATGCGACTGTACCCCTATTTCCCATTAGTTCTAACTTCTTATCTGGCTCCGATTCATAATCACTGAGCCATACAGTTGAATAAAACTTGTCACTTGATGGAGGGTTTGTCTTTGTTTTAGGTTTCCTAATGACTTTCTTCGGAGCTCCCTTCCTCCAAGCTGTGTATAGTATGAAAATTTACTAAGTATCACTCTTGTTCCTTTTCATTCCATAATCACCATCGAAATTGATAGGCCCAATTCTACATCTTTCCATAATTCAAGACAGAAAGGCTTAAAAGATCACTTTATATTCTTTTATGTTTTTTTTTTAATCTCAGGGTGACAAATCTTCAACTCAGACAGAAAGTTGCAATTTTTAACAATATATTTACAGTTTAAGTAAGGACCTACAAATCAGAATTTAATATTAATGGAAGCTGGCAGCTTTGATTGTGTGACAGGCAAACCTTAAGCTTTAAAATGGATTAATTTTTTCCAACCACTTTTTATATTGTTTATTAAATTTTAAAAGTGTTTATTGGCATATAGTTAGCTTTAGGCTGAGAATTTTTTTTAAAAATACAGACAAGGAGAAGGATCAAATATTTTCATTCAGAATTACATTGAGTATGTGAAATTGTGACCAGCACAAATTCTTCAAGTTGCTTCAGCTACTCATATAAGTATGGACTTGAATCTGAAGTACTCAAACCCCTCTGGATGTCTGTATTTCAGTCAAAGCAGGCATGATCTTGGATAAATTTTAAGTGTTTCACAAAATAATCTCACCTGAATCGGGTGATTCCTTCTCAAAGACATGAGCTGGGTACCTGTTTCAAACAAACATCATTTCCTGTTATCCAAAGAGTGTCTTCATCAATAAAATCAACAGTTAAGTTTGGAAGTAATTGATTGAAGCTACTAAATGATTGCCAACTTAAAAATTACTCAGACTTGAAGTGAATCGCAAGATATCAATATTGCATGTACTGACTGCTTTGAGAACCATATCCTCTTCATTTGAAGGCTTCATGTCACAATTTATTGAAAATGAAGTCAAAATGACCCATCCAGGTCTGAGTCTTGTATAACAACCACTGAGCAGCCACAAGTCCCACTTCCTGACATTGAAAATGGCCCAAAATAGTGATCTAAAACCTTTCACCCCCACAAACTGAGAACAACACTTTCTTGCAACATGTGACTTTACATTTCTCTATAACTTATGCTGAGAATAAGGTTTCCTATGTGGGCAATTTCCTCTGGTTGATAATCATATCAATTCTCATTACCTACCTCCTTAAAAACATATGATTGTAATTGTAAGAGAAATTTACACATTTACCATACCAAGGATGAAAATGTGACATGTCGAAGATCACAAGCAATCTGAAAAGCTCCCACTTTTCACACTCAACTAATGAAAGTTTGACAACACATTAAAAGGTGCACTTCACAATGAATCAGTCCTACACCAGATGACATAGTTAAGTCCAAATATAATTTTCCACTTGCATAGACTTACAGTTCCTCATTAGGGTGGGCATAAGAACTGTTTGGAGTCTGCAAAAGAAAAAAGCATACAAACCAATATTGTAACTATGACACTCACTTGTAAATAAATTGAGGTGGGGAAAAATCACTGCTTACTTAAGATACTGTAACTTAAGTTGCTAAACACCAGAAGCCAAAACAAAAAAAGAAAACAAAAAAAATTCACCAACCCTTCTTCCAGAAGATCCATTAGGAGACTTGGCACTAGTTGCTGTTTAAAGAAGATTTTTCGTTCAGTAATTATGAAAAGGTTGTTTCAGTGCATGGAGAGGACTTATTTACTATTTCTATCTAGATAATCATACTTTCTCTGCATACTAGTGGTAAGACTTTGGTATTACATTCATACATTTCTTGACTATCTTTTCTTCATTCTGAACACCATCAGTTATCTTCACAAAAGAAACACAGCATATCAATCATGTTTAAAAGGGATTTTAATAACAAATAAGTAGCCAACACACCTCTTGGGCTGTGTCCATTCACCTGTATCAGAAATAAATTAAAATATTGTCACCACTTAATTGGCTTTACTGCAGTGTCAATCACAAGTCAACAGATGAAGTATTTCATATGTGCTATTTGTCAAGAGTTTCTTTTGAACTCAAAGAAATAAACGCACTGAAATCCTGCCCTTGCTCTGATCATGTGGCCATGAAGTTTATAAGTGCTATTTGTAACAAGTTTCCTTTGAACTCAAAGAAAGACACCCACTAAAATACTGTACCCCATAGGAGCCTGTTTTAACCCTTACACTCCCAAGATCTCATTACTAATTCTCCTTAAAATCTGCCATATAATTCTTGTGATGTTAGTTCTGAGAATTTGGCACTGGATCAACTAATAATCCCCTGATTGATATTGTTCTTAAGTCTCATTGCTTATCTGCTTGATGTTGTATTGATATTGTAAAGAGAAATTCTGTCTTGGTCACTCAAGGGGATTAAAGGGTTACATTTGTCTATGTATTACAACTTTACTGCACTTGCTCTCCAGTTAAAGGTTTAATTTACATTATTTTTAACACAGTACCAGAAATTGATTGCTTAGTGCTCTAGGTAAACCAACTTATATTACTCTTACCCTAGCTGGTGGTCCAGGACTCATTCCTCGTTCTTTACCAGCACTCTTAACTAAATAGGAATTAAAATTAAACTTACAAGACATGAAGAGATTGCACAAGCACATCTGCAGTCTGAGACTGCAATGATCAATATTTTCATTTGCAGTAATGCATTATCTTAGTTTTTGGCATCACGTCTAAGTTCCAGTTACTGAAACCATGCCTCAGTGGACAGTATTCACATTTAACACATCATTTTTGCCATGATAGCAAACAGGCTACTTAAAGCTTTCATTATAAGCTATTTTAACCAGAAACAAATACAGTACATCCACTTTCAAAAATCAGAACTCCAAGGTTACACGTTTTCCTTTTTATAATCAAGAAAGACTTTTTAGTGTAAAGATGTTACTGAAAGAAAACATCTGTCTTTAAAATCAAAGTGAAAGATTTATATATATGTGCAGATTTCCTCAATTACAAGTAAAGCAGTAAAGCAGCAAAATTTACTCACAACTACCTAAATTAAGTTTTTCTTTTTCTCTTGTTTTGAACACCATGAACTATTGAGATTTGTTTCTTAACTCATTTTAAGACAATGGAATGTTTATTTCATAATTATAGAAAAAACAATATAGCAATATGTCAATTTTACCTGATGCGGACCGTCGCACCTGACGATCACGAGAGGGAGTGTGGCTACCGCCTGAAAATATTTAACATTACAAATTCTTGTTACTGCTCACTGCCAACTTTTTGGCTTTAGGAAGGAGATTTTATAATCAGTTTATTATACCGAATTCTACTTATTAATGATTATACTTTTTGTATAAACAATTTAATACATATTTTACCTTTAATGTTTTACAACATAATTTATGAGCCAAATTGATCATGATAGTATTGCCAACTCACTTCTATTTACTCTCTTATGTATCAATTTTTTTCTCCACCTGGTGGATCTCTAGTGCATTCAGTTTAGAAATTTATTGCTAAACATTTAAAATGCTTTTGTCTTAGTTGATCTTTGGTCAAACATTGAAACAATTAGCACAAAACTGCTGTTGTCATACTGCAAATCATTTTAAAATTCTCTGCAATAACTTTCAAACAATTCTTTTTATTTAATTAGAGGACTTTGTTCTAAAGGCCAGAACAATTTATTTTATTCTTTAAAGTTATCTTGTTGACAGTGTTATGACACTATAGTTTAATGGGTTTATGGAACTGTTGTTGCTCTACATACCAGTATCATTAGAGCCACTGTCTCGCCTTCCACGTGGGGTTCGTAGTGAAGATGACCTTTTCAGGCCAGCAGGCCTCTTGAGATCTCTATATGGAGTAATCTTATAACCTAAAAACAAAAAGTGTAGGACATACTGTGGTCAGTTTTAAGAACTCAAGCAAAGAGCAGTGTATTTTTGCACCAAAAGAAATAAGATGGCTCTTATAACATGCAAGAAACACTTTAGCCAGTTTGATCATGGGTTTGAGTTCATGACCTAGCCCCGTAATTGTACAGTATTCTAAAGAGGGAACCTTTACTCCCTCTTTACCCCTTAGCTCCCAAGATCTCGTTAGTAATTCTCCTTACTGTCTGTCATACAGTTCTTGTGATATTAGTTGGAAGGAATTGGTATTGGGTTGACTTATAATCCCCTAATTGATATTTTTCTTTATTCTCATCACTTGTCTGCCAAATATTGTATTGACACTGTAAGGAGAAATTCTCTCTAGGTCACTCATGGGAGTTAAAGGTTAACCAGATGTATAAATGGATGGGAGAAAACTGAAACAGAAAACCTGACAGAAAGCTCAGCTGCAGGTTCACAGTGATAAACTAGCATTCCATAAAAGTGTCCGAGACATACTCCTGATCATGTCACACTGGGCAAAACCACCCATAAGCACAGGAAGTAATGAGACACTTGGCCTTAAAAGTTTAACTTCACCACTTAAAAAACAGTTGGGATAACAATTATGTAGCTAGCATAGAATTCTCTAGTAATCATTCTACAAGACATAAATACAACTAGTAGCTTTAAGCTACCCAAACACAAGTGAGCTCTTGCATAAAAAGCCACTTGAATGCTTCAAAAATGTATTATTTCACTTTTTTTTATCTAGAAAGGTTGCTATGATGTTTCAACATGAACCAGACCACTAAATCCAGTCTAGAATGCCATCCCTGATTGCTTTTAACACTCAAAGGAAAATTGCTAACAGTAATCCATTTATGAAACAACTTCAATAAAACGAACAGATTCATTTTATTACTAAAAATGTCTTGAGTGTAACATGACATGACTTTGAATAATAAAAAACAGTACCATTATAGTGCAGTGTACTGTGACATACCATAACTCTTACATTCTAAAATTCCATTTCCCTTCCCAAGCAATAGGAATTTACTTTCCTATCCAATTTATATTCCATTACAAACACTTTTAGCACAATTTTCCAAATACCTTCTCAGACTCTAAAAATAGTTCAAAACTCTAAAATTATTAGTTATAAAAAAGTATATGCCCTTGCCCAATGCATTCTCTCCTTGAATAAATTTCTATGAGTCATTTCTTATTCACTGTCCAATTTAGAAATTTTCCTAACTCTTTTTCCAGACTAAAACCTTTGAAATTCACCAACCTTATTAACATTGCTGTAAACTCGATAAATAACAAACACAACAATCTATCTAGAAATTCCCTATAGGCTACTCAATATTTGTATGTCCTTTGATAGGCGAAAGCCCTTCAACATAACTGTTATTAAATGTATTACTATTATTAAGATTACCAATGTTTTAAAATTCAACTTAAAAATGCCATTGATGCTTTTAAATTCTGTAACCCCTTAAATTTTGTCTCTCTCAGTTAAATATAGCATAACACATTTAGATATAATATTTATATAGTAATAGGAACTTTAACTTTAAGTTTAACAATATTTTGTCTAATTCAATTTGCACTTATATAATAACCTTATAATAAAATTTACTTTCTTTACTGAGATTTAATTATGGAAGATAACACTTATTACACTTTTTCTTGAGAGCCATAATGGACATGCAGTACTTCAGATAAATAGATTCCAGTTGACTTATTATTGGCAGCAAGTTCCAAGTGCCTTTACATGGTTTTGTAACTTTAAAAACTGACATAACTTGTATCAGCGAGAAGATAATGTTGATAATATGATGATACTTAAGAAAAAATATTGCTATCAAAAATACTCATTTATCAATAATATTGTGTATATTTGGATAACCATGCTAAAAATAAGAGAATCCTTGACTAAAAAGGATAATACACTATTTGATTTGACGAATAATTCTGCCAAAAATATAACAGACTGGTTGTGATTGAGTGGAATACACTTTTCAAAGTGTTGATCAAATGAAAGTCCAGCCTTGAGATTTTTGATGAAATTGGGAATGAATTACTTCATCCACACCTTCGCATGAATGAAAATACCATATGTTGAAGTAAACACCGCAATAGACTTTTCTTACAAGAAGCCTGTACAAGTATACTTAAAAGTCAAAACAGGTGTTCCTAAATTACAGTAGGAATTTCAAAGTGCTTGGTTTTCAAAGCACTACAAAAGTTCGGATTACTTCTGAACTGTACCATAATCAATTTAAGAAAAATCAGTGCACCTTCTTGAATCAAGATCTACAAAAAAGGATAAAATTTGGTACTGCCTCTACCAGCAGTAATTGTTTCTTTTCCTTCATATTATTTCTGACCCATCCAGAAGGATGTTTGGAGGGGTAAATATCAATAGATCTTTTACCTTGTACTTGTGAAACTCTCCCCTACCTGATACTGTAGGGGAAATTGTCCAAGTCTCATTAAAATTCTTCACAATGAGCGTGAATAAATAATAAAAATAAAAGAAACTTAAAATAAATAAATCCACTACACAAAAAATGACCTGCATCTCTAGTGAAAGGCTATATATATGATACTATGATTGTCTACTATATGGTGACTAAAAAATTTCAAATAAACTTTGTGTGTAATATAACATTAAAAATGAACATTTTCCGGGCTAATAAAATTGAAACTATCTGGTAATACTTTGGTTAAATAACCTACTTTTAAAATTTACTTGTAATATATATACAATACTATGGTTACTTTTACTCACAAGTGAGTATTATGTAATATTTTGATTAAATAAGTTTCAAAACTTTGATCAATTAAAAACTGGAAACCCCACACAAAAAAAAAGGATTAAAATACACCTTCAACCATACTGGTCTAGAGTGACCTTTTTAACCCGCAGAAGTAATGTGTTTCTTTTTTAACTGATCTATTTTGATGATTGATGCAAGTTAAAACTAGGGTTGTCATGTTATGAAATACACAAGTAAAATATTCTCAAAAGTGAAAGCATTTGTACTCATCAATCAAGCAAATAGTGGACAGTGCAAAAACAAGCACTGACCAATAAAAGTCCAACCCAGTTTCAATGTGAGATGGCAAGTGAAATCTTATTTAGAAGGAAAAATATTGTGAAGCACATCAAGCCAAGACTGTTTCCAGAGAGTCAGCAGGTGATATGTTCAACATCATAGGTTTCAGGTCTAATTTTACTGAAGGATCCTTTGGCTCAATCTCATCTGCATCCTTCTCTTCCCTGGAAAACTTCATTGGCCTCACCGATGCAGTTGGCTTTCCTTCATTATGCCCTTGACTCTTGTTCATCTTTTCATTGTAAATGTAAATGTAGTAACCATTGCGACCAGTATCATCTTCAGAATCAGAGCTTTCTGGAGATAGGTTGCGTTGAAAAGGCATCGGGGGCCTCTCTGCATTTCTTGGCCTTCCTCTTATAGCTACTGGTTTGTCAGAACCCGCTTTTGGTTTTATGGGAGCAGGCTTATCTGAGCCGGTATGCTTCTTTGCTGGTCTTAGAGATGTACTTCCTTTCACTGGAGTAGGCGTCAGAGGCTTACGTGAAAACTCAGATGGAACCCCAATAGCAGACTTTGGTCTGCGAGCCTCAAAACTTCCTGATAACTTTGGTGTTGGTTTTGGGGATGGTGTGTAGGACTTTCTAGTGTAAGTGGGTCGAGGTGAAACAGACCTCGTTCTTACAGGTACTGGCCTTGGTGTAGTTAAATTTGACATGGATGCTGCTAAGATACAGTGCAAGTGAACTGTGAACTTCTTTTCTGGAGGTGGGGGCTCAGGTCGCAGGCCAGGAATATAGGAATAAAATTCTGTGACTGGTGCATGACGCCAACGTGGGCGGAAGCCTGGGATTAAAACAAACCAAGGCGTTTTAATGACTTTTCCAAGGAAAATAAATGCAAGGTGTTTGCCATCGTATAAGCGAGTACAAAAACAAGTGCATTTTTTTTGGCTTGAATTTGGGTTTTAACGAGTTCCTATTTCCTGACCTGCTTTGAGCCTGTTTTGTGATGATATCTCAGTGATTGAAGAGAGTGCATATGGTGCAGTTGCCTTTGTCAGCAACTGCCATTTGTGGAGAGAATGCAAAGACAAGGTGCATGCATTATTGCTGATTGTTGCTCATTTTTGCCTCGCTTACACGAGAGCCAATAGTCGACGGCCTTAACCCTTTAACTCTCAGATCTGATTGTTGATTCTCCCCTCCAGCTGCTACACATTTCCTTATAAATTAGTTACAAGAATTTGGTGTTAAATCAAGGTAACAACTTTAACCTGATAAGTCTGAGTACTTTCATTACCCGTTTGCTGGATAGTGAATGGATATTTTAGGGAGAAGTTACATGTTGATCACTTCTGGGAGTTAAAAGGTTAAAGTATGTTAACACTAAAAGCCAAGTGACCCATAACTGCCGGTGCTTATTCCTGGTTTATAAAGTAATCAGTGAATACATGTCTACTCCTAGTTGGAACAATATTTCAATGCAAGGACCCCCTCTCCTTGCATTTTTGGCTTTGGTATCCATATATACTACTGGGAGGAGAGCAACACCGCAAGAACTTAGTGTCCTGTCCAAAAATTGGGATTCAACAAGACTCTCTGATTGATAATCCCATGTGAGGCCAGTGCTTCTCCCAGTTGTGTTACATCCTCACAATGGCCCTTTATAGCCAATTTGCAGACATATCTACTGTACAAAAATTCCTTACACGCAAGAATGCTAAGTGCACTTTACATTTTAGTAAGTACAAATACATCTACACCTATGTAATTATTTTTGGTGATAAGGTTTTTTTTTTTGTCTCACCATGAAGTCACTTTGATATAGATTGCTGACTACATCGTAAGGCAATTGATTATACATCATTACAAGAGTATTCACCACAAGCCATAGCCACACATTTTTGATGACATGAGTAACTTTTTGGTACTTGAGGATCATCATTTTAGACTTCAGTCTACATTCTTTTTTGAATCTCACACTCTCTCTACACAGTTCCTCTTCAGAAATTGAACAAGTGAGATATTAAAATAATGTTTTGCCATCACCAAGGCTTTTTAAGAATCTTCACTGGCCACTGTAATCAGATTTCTCTTGTTTCTTTTTCAATAACATGGCTTCACTCTACAACACTAACAAATATGTACCTATTTTTACACAACTTACTTTGCACATCAACATCAAATCCTTCGTCTGGGAACTTTTCATTACTTTGGAGGGCAACAAACATTGTGTCATCACCAAACAGGTGTCTCAGTTCCCTAATCTACAATGAGAAGAAACAGAATATCATTTAATTTTTTTTTTCAGTTTCATAATTGGAGGCCCATGCTATTCCAGTTACTTTCAAAAGGCTTCTCCTTTCCTCTTTGGCAGGAAAACAGAATTCTGCTACCCTGCACAGACCAACAATCAACTCAAACATATTTGTATTTGCGATATTGATGCCCAAATGTTTGTTATTACATTAAGAAAATATCACTGAGTAGATGACTGCAGCTGGCATATTAAAAAATTAAATTTCAAATTCATTTTTCTTTTTTTTTGACAGCCAACACCCTTTCAATAGAAGGCAAGTCTGACAAGGACAGGAAATAATTACCAACACACAACTGTGAAAATTTACATGGAATTACTTAGACAATTTTGCCTTTCCTCTAGCGAAGCCATTTCAGACACTTTGTTCCTAACAAACAATCTCAGTATTGTGATATTGGTGACCAAAGAGAGAAAAAAAATGATCATGAGAAAATCCCTTAACCCAAAAATCCTTATTTAAAACAAAGCTCTCAAAATGACACAGAAAGGAAAGTTTTAGACTGTAATTGCATGCAAAAAATAAATTGAAGCCATAAAAAAGTCATAGGTTATCACAGCCGCCTTCCTATCTGAATTAACAGGAGTGAAAATTGGCACCACTCCTGGAGTACTAAATTGCATGTCTACCATGGGTGTATTCCTGAGAGTGTTGAACAATACTCTAGCAGGAAAACAGAACCCTCCATTCAACCTCAGAAAAAACAAGAGGCAAGATGATCTATAATTAACTGAGAAACGAAAAAAGGCCAATCCAGGAAAATAGGTTCATCCTCTTACTAGTAATAATAACAGTGTCAAAAATACTGCTTTTGACCTTTACACTTAAGAGTTAAAAAACCAGGCTTACATTATAAACCTTTCAAATGTATAAATAAATCAAAACAGGTCATCTTTGAGATGTTCAGATGCAAGCCAAGAGAACCGGATGTGGTTCATAAACCAAAGACTTAAGTTCAACTCCTAGCCAACATAAAGTGAAAAAAATAATCTTGCTTGTATAGACTACTGATTATTAACTGCGGCATCAATTATATTCACTGAAACACACTTTTGAGTTTCTGACAAGGAAACAGCTTTAAGTCCTTAACTACATTGATCCCTGATAGGGAAATTTCCCAATTTTCACAGGCTTCAATTCATCTTAGTTTTTTGAGTGGGTCATTCATCTCAAATCATATTTGATTGTTGTCATAGTCTCAGGAGTTGATCTTAATCCTTATTTGAGAAATTATGGCTGAGAAACATAATGCAACTTTCATCTGCTTAATCTAAATCCAACCTAACCAAGAACTTATCCAGTAGGAGTAATCCATGAGACATTATGTCTGTGTGATGGTCAATGGCTAAATATCTTGGTCTAAAATTATCATCCTCTCCCACAAAAACAAAAACGACACCATTCATGCTGAGCTACAGTTGCATGTTGCAACATACTGCACATACTTTGCAGTTACAACTTATAAAAGATGAAGACCAAGGTAGAGAGCATAGTCAAAATGATCCTTTATTCTGATCACATAAATATTCACTCTGATACACTGTTAGCATCAATCAATATTATCTTCACTCAAAAGCAACAAATGTTTCTTCACTTGAATATCTGGATAAATAGCTTCCCAGAGAAGCAATGAAAACGATCAACTTAATCCTGACGAGCACCTTAATTCTCAACAAAGCTAAAAAAATGAACGGAACTCAAGTAAAAGCATAAATAAGTAACAACATTTTTGCTTTCTTCTACCAACATTTCATTTTCTGAATCATTCCACTTTCATCAACAACCAAGCAGGGGCAATTTAATGGTCAGATTCCTTTGATATGGCATTGTTTGAGAAGAATAATAGCTGCATTGACAAATTTTTTTAGAAGTTCACCAATCTCTTTATACATTCTTGTTACACCGCAATTTTGTCAAGAGACCAGCAATAAACACAAACACAATAAATCCACTTGTCAATTCTAATGGGGCATATCCAAATCAATTCTTTACCTTTTGAATATCAAATCACTAGAATTTTTCTTAGAACTGATTAATGAATGTTGATTTCCATGCAAAAAAAAAAACCCAAAATCTTGCTACTTCTTTCTTATTTATAGTTTTGCAATTGACTATGATGCTATTTTTGTTTCATTCTTTTAGAACAAGACACCCCCTACAACAGTACAATAAAAACCAATATTTACTAAAACACATCTTGATAAGGGAATGCAAACAGCATTCCGAAGTAATTACCTAAGACGAATTATGTAAAAATACGCCTTTAGATATGACATTTTTAAGGAGATAAAAAGGTGCATGGATCAAAAAATGACGAAATCTTGGGGATGCTTTCAGGAAAATAAAACAGGAAGGAAACTTCAATTTATCCGAACACGTAGCACCAGGGAATTTATTGCGAGACCAACGTGTAAATGAAGCAAATAAATTACCTTTCAATAATGAAAGTAATATGAAATAGCTAGGTTTCAGTTTCAGACGAAATTCTAAACGCTTCAACCGGGAAACAGGTAACAACATTTCAAATTCTCGGGGTCAATTAGAATATTCCGCAGACAAACTGTAATCAAACAATGAAAGGTTTTGAGTGATTAGAAAGCATGAATATATTTTGTTTTGGCGAGCCATAAAATATTTCTGAAAAATACAAACAAGAGATCGAGAGAGCAGAATTTCAACAAAAAACCACATCATAGCGGTCAGCATTTGCAAAGGATAGATCGCTCCAACAATCTGAAATCCCTAACTTCATGGGCGGAAGTGTGAAAATTGCCCACACGAAGGGTATAAATAATGAAAAGAACGATCCACGTGGCGAGAAGCGACTCAAATTGTAAGCACTTTGAATTTAATGGAACAAATCGTACCCACGGGATTGTATCGAGAGAAAATGAAAGAAATTAAAGACAATGAATAGAATACTTTCGTTTTACTTAAAGCTACAATGGCGATCTAGAGAAACAAACAACAGAGTTGATCAGCGAAACGCTGTCAATACAACAGGGCGCAATTTACAACTTTTTTTCCATTTCAATGCAACCCCCAAGGTTTCAAGTTTATAAGCGTACACGATTGAATTGAAATCGCTTGCCCCAAAATAAACTTTCTGTGGTAGCTTCAAAATATAGATCTGTTTGAAACGCTATAATCTACGTGATGAAAATATCTGCCAGCGACTTAGTCGACTTTTTAGCCGCCTCTCACAGTAGTTTACAAATTTCGACACGAGCTTATTATACACACAACAGACGCGCACGAAAATCTCAAGGATGCCTCTTATTTTAGCATGTCGGGCAGCCTAACGGATTCTAAACATTTTTGGTGAAGTAATATCACGAACAAAGGCTTCTAGCCCAAAACCAATGATAAATTATTAATGACAACCATAAAACGAATGCCTCTCGACGCATTGAATGAAGCAAGCGAAATAAATGGCAGATCAAAATCCCTTACCTGTTTACCATCAACTGTATGCAACTTGTCCACTTTGCCAAGCGTTCCCTTGGAGGACAAATGATCCAAAACTTGCTCTAGGTTAATTGCTGTTTTCGCGTTTAGTAGCATGGTGACTTTCTTCTGTGGGGGTTTTCCGTTCTTTATTACTGTCACCAATTTCGGTTTGATGAAATCGCGAGTACCGTCGATCAGATGAACTGACGATGATGTTGGTGGCGCTTCTTTCTTGTGGTGAGCGAGCGACCACGACGGTTTCATGTTTCCATAGCCAGCATCGACTTCTTTGAATACATTGGTCGAAGAGCAAACATAACTAGCGCCGTATTGTAGTTCGTTTACATCTGTGATCATTTGGCCCGTTTCGGCGTTGAAAATATAGCGCACAGCCCCTGTGGAAAGTTCCAGCTTGTTTGAAAGCTCGGCCAGTAAAGCGTCGAATTCTTTATACCGCTCCGGCGATACAGCCAGTTTAAGCCCACAAAAAAATCGATCTCCATTCCGGTAAAAGCGAATTTGTTTCGCGCTAAGACTTTGGTTTCTTCTCAGCAACGATGTTCGGTTTATTTCTTTAGAAGACGCGTTTCGAGAGTTTGATCGAACGAGGCCGGGAGAAGGAGAGCGGGATCGATCATGGTCTCCGTTCATCATTCCATTCTCCATTATTGAACGTTTCAACGCAACTGGAAAAAGAGAAGGAGAAACGTTTAATTATTCACGTCGTCTATGACTAAGATTCTTCGACGTGACCTTATAAATAAGCGGTTTTCAATCTGAGTAAAGCGAGGGGAAAAAACGCCACCGCAGAACAGGGAGTTACTTACATTCGGCCGGCGCCCGATTGTTCCTTTCCGCTTGGCACCCACTGGCTCTTTATCAGTTTGCTAATGCGTTTAGGGCTAAAACTCTGTCCAAGGAAACAAAAATAATAGCCTCATATTCTATTCTGAACTGGTGAGGGCCGAAATGCACCTGCACTAAAAGAAATTACGACCATCCACTGTAAACCTGACAACCGCGAATAATATTTTGACTTGTCCTGGCCATGAAGTGCCGCCTTCTGATTGGCTTACCAAACGATGTAACAATAAAAGAAAATTATAGCCAATCAAAATGAGATCTTGCATCCAACAAGTACCCGTATTTCCTGTCACAGATTTACCGTCTGAAAACCAGAAAAATTGAGTTTTTCACCTCAATTTTCTAGAAAAAAAACTGCTTTTCTTCTTTACCGATTACTCGCTTTGAAATCTATATCTCGCGGTTGATAGTTTAATGTAAATTCGATGCTATCGAGTCACCTTTGTTTGAAATGATTTTGTATGAATTATTGAAAAGTATAATATGGATTCATTCATCGGATATCACTTTTCATGTGATGAAGCTACTCTTTGTCTCGATCGACGCGATAAAATTATCGATTTGCATTCTGGATTCATTAGTTTGCGAGAATTTTAAAAGGACCGACCACCGTAGAGTTTTTGGTCTTGCCTCTATAAAATGATGTCACGTCTTATTCATGTAACCCCATAATTGAAAGACCTGCTTGCTCTCAAAGAAACCACAAGAATTCGCGGGTAGAAAATGATTCTTCTTCGCGCTTTTTCTGTCACATAACGAAAAAAACCGAGAAATTTACTTGCCCCAGTTAACAGCCACTTGTCATTCGCGTAAAGAAAACACATATTTTACTTCGAACCAAAGATTTTTCTTTTCAGTTTAATCGCCTCACGTCCGTTGCAGCTGGCATTGCTTAGTCAATTTCGAAGCCGCATGCCAAATTTCATTCTGGAACTGTTCATATTGAGCACTGAAACATGTCCTTAAAAGGAATTCGCTGGCTTCTTAATGGACTTGAAGCGTATTTGGAATCATTACAGAGGAAAACACAGGCATACGTCGAAAACATTGTGTTTGTGAAATCAACCCAAATCTTTGCATAGGAAAATTAATTGATGATAAAATGAAAACCCTTGTAAGGCAACTTGCATTTGTGTTTACCGTCAGATATCTTCCTCGAGACTCGATATCCCTGAGGGGAAGAAAAAATAATTCAATATCTTAATGATTTGAAAATAAGAAAAACAAATCTAGGCTGCCGAGCGCCAGGGAAAGTAAATGATGTTAATCTGGATCTTTTCGCCTTGGCAAAACTATGTACAAAAGCGATACGATTATCCGCTTGATTTTGTGTTTGTATTCAATTTTTTTTTCGCAAAAAAGAGCGATTGATTTGAAAAAAAAACATATGATCGGTTGAATAAATAGTTTTTCCGTTGTCTTGACAGAAAATTTTCATAGAGGTTTCCATAGGGGGTGTTGAGGTTTCCATAGGGGGTGTTGAGGTTTCCAGTGAACTGAGTAGCTGACTTCCACCTCAGTTTGAATTTACTTTTAAAAATCTGGAGGCATCTCATCTCGATTTTTCGCAAAAACGCGTTTTTCACAAATCGAAATATTTAAACCTGGTAAGCTTATTAAGATACTGAAACTGTCTCGCGCACTTCCGTAGTTTATTAATATGTTAAATTTGCGCGATTATCGGGAGGGGCGAATATGGCATCTTGTTCTTAGCTCCCTAGGAGGGTAAACAAGAATGCAATCCCATTGTTGAAAAGTTCAATTTCTCGTACATCACCACAAGGGTCGTGTATCTGACTGCTTTCAAACTACCAAATTTTCTGGAAAAACACGGAAATTTATTCGCCTTTTCAAATAGGCTACACATCCTAACAGTGTTTATCAACGACAACAAAAACTGTAATTAAGCGACTGAAATAAGTTGGAGTCGCGAATAAAGGCGTTGTCGTCTGCAGATAAGCAAATCAGAGCGAAATCGATCAAGATATATCGTGATATTTTCCTGATAAAAAATTTATGGGCCATATTGTCGAGGCAAATGACACATGCCTGGGGTACATATCCAGCAAGATATCAATTTTATGGCAGAAACTGCATGATACTCTGGGGGTCTCCGCTATGATCCCGTCCATCTTTTTGACCATTCAAAGCTGAGCGCGCTACAATCATTCAGGCGGGACATGCAGTAGAATCTTTCGAAAGCGAGCAGTAAACCTTTTTCTTGGGTGGGGGAACGAAAAGATCTTATTTTGGTAATTAGAAAATGAAATTTTGGCGAAAAGTATGTTTTTTCCGGGACTAGCCAGCTATTGTGTGTAACAGCAAACAAGGGTTTAGCTCTAAGCACACCGGTAAGTGTTGCTATTGAATGAGTGAACAAATAACACAAAGAACTTCGTAAACATTGCCAAACATGCTGCGAGAGTTTATTAAAACTACTGACTAGCTATTGTTTACTGCCCTGGAGCAACCTTAGATGCTAGCGGTATCACTTAATCTCCTTTGCCGTTTCAATTTGTTTAACCGGGAAAGGATTCTAAGGCTTTCATCAGAAATGCTGTGGGGATAATGTTCTCATTAGAATTCAGCAGGTGTAGAACATGTGTAATGTTTTGTGCTTGATTGATTAGTTATTCAAATTTTCGTCTTAATGAACACAAAATTTCGGCTTGGCGTCAATTGGTAGTTTTTCATGAGCTGACGCCGGCTAAATTTAATTGAGAAGAGAAGCTTTTTTTTTCTCATGACAGTTTTGTTCAAATTTGGGCAAGGAGTCGGGAACTTGGAAAAGATGAATTCCATGTTCTGTTTTGATAATAAAAATATCTTTTTATTGAAAAGTTCTCATCTATACGGTTTTGAAAGCATGGTAAAGTACTTTAAATGCTAGCTATAGCTAGAAAACTGCTTGTTCACGGCGTGAAGCGAATTGTTTTTAATACAAGAACGGCGCACAGTTCTCAATGAGTAGGCAGCATTACGCACGATTCCCAAAACTGAAGTACCATAATTATTCAAATTTGACAATTGAAAACATTTAACCTTTTGTCTTTAACCGTTGCAAAGTCTTAAGCTTGGTATGTCTTGAAAATCCATCCCTAACATTATGGTTTGATTAAATTTACATCGGACGACCTAAAAAATTTATAACGTTGAAACTTATTGCGCTTTGAGTATTGTTATGACCCACACCTTGAGAGTGGAAAACCAAAGTCATTAACACTCACGTTATTATTTGTAATGTAAATGTCCTTTGGTCTATCATCACATATATTTTCTCGGACTCGTAACCAATGAAGATCAAGAATTTTGACAAAAATTACTCCACATAATCAGATAAAATTTTGTTTTGATGATCTCTCGTGATTAGAAAGTTTCATTTTATTCGGGTTGAAGCTCTACAAGCTCTGCACCTGGGAGAAATTTCCTTGATAAGCTTCTTCCTTAATTTCTCATTTTCCAACGTTACGAAAAAGAATGTAAAAGTTTTATGAGTGAGAACTATAATGACACTCAAAATGAATACTATACTCTTAGATGCCCAATTACTACTGGGAGCCACTTCTTCATTTAATTCTTCAGCGTTACCTCCTTTCCAAAAGTTCTTGTGTTACTTACATAGGATATGCATTTATCCGTTAGAGTCACTTTTAAAAACAATCAATTCCAAGTTACTTCTTAATATGCCATATTTGGCTCCACAAAGTCTGCACACGAAACTCATTAAGACTTTTTGCCTCACACAGGGTAGAGAAATAATCATAATTTTTCTGGAACTGAGCCAGGGTTTTTAAGACCTCGGAGGCAAACCGCCTGTAAGCTAAACATCTCTAATGAAAATAAACCCCTTCCACTGGAGTTACTTATACACGTCGATCGATGTCTCTTAGTCTTGCTGTAAGTGTGGCATGCAAGTCTTCTTCTGCTCTGTGCTTGAAAGATGAAAAACAAAAAAAAAATGATAATAATACAAAATAAAAACCAGCGATACAGTGAATGAAACATAAGTAGTTTTTCTTTAGGGGCAGTCATTATTTGTCGCCCGAGGGGGTATGGGGTGGAGGATTTTGGGGAATCTCATGGTTTTTTTAGTGCATCAACGGTCGCCAACAGAGTATAGCGGGATGGGGGGAGGGCTAAATAAAATTTATGCCAATTGACTACCAATGGGGGGAGGGGGGGTCATGAAAATATTACAGAGCCTTAAATTTTATCTTGACATGAACAAAATTCTCCTGCTCCCCCCACTCCTCCCCCGAGACGATAACTAACGGTCAGTCTCTTATGTTTTTTTTTCCACTTGCCTTTTCTTCATTAAAGAGAACAAAAGTGGGCTGAAAAGCATTTTCGTTTCAATGCCCCTTATCTTTAATTTTTATTTTCTCTGAGGGCATCTTCAGAGTTTCTTTGATGATCGTGATGAAAGCTATCAGTATTAAGGCAACAGATGTCTTCAACTTGCAAAAGACTGAAAACAAAGTTTGTCGATCGGACTGGTTTCTTGGACATGATTGAACCTACTCGCACAAACCTGGGTCATGCGATGTCTCCGTGGCTTTAACAAAAGTCCAATAAAGTGAGCTTTGCACCACTCTGTAAAGAGTCGAGTAGGTTCCTTTCATTTTTTTCTATGATTTTCATTGTGAATATGAAAAAAATGGAAATTAATTGCAGAAAGCCCAAAAGCTTTCGTGTTTGCAGCTGAATTGATCTCTTGTCTTTAGGAGAAAGACGCCTGACTGTCTATATGTGTTATTATAGAGAAGTGTGTACTTATGATCCCCGATATGAGTGAAGATTGATTTTAGGTGCGGCTGTTAAAAGGCTCTTTCCATCCAGACTGAGGGGTTTCGAGCATAAGCCGTCTTTTCGATATTCAGTAAACGATTTATTAGGCAAAGTGACGCCCTTTAGAAGTGAATTTATTGAACTAAATCGTCTTTCTTACTTAAAAAAACACCTAACAGTTTGATTGAAAGATACGCCAAGCAGACAGCGTTGCCTGTGGGTTTAAAGTGTGCTTAAGATAAGAGCGCCGAACGGTGGAGTCACGAGAACGAGTACCGCAAGAGCTTTGGGGCAAACTTGTAGCTCCGCTGTCCGTTATTGCCGAGTCCGCCGTCCTTTCTTTTCACCAAGCGCCTGAAAAACGCCAGCTAAGTAAGGTAGTTTTGAACAATCTTGGCGGCACATTTCGTCGTCCTTA